TGTACCACGTGGATCTGAAAGCCATCCGATTGGCTAAAAAATCTGGAAAGCTTCTTGCAGCATTTCGGTCGACGCAAACCCTTATTGCACAATCTTGAGTTGTAGCTTCGTCATGCGAACATACAGACTGTGCTGCGATTGGGTGAGAATTGAGTTGGGTTTAGGGGCGGTCTTTCAATGGTGCGGCGAAGCCAAGCGCAAGGACGGTGAAAAGAAGCATAAGGATCGAGGGGATCAAATACGTCGCAGCAACGTCGAGGAAAGAAGATCCTTTTCAGGGGTGAGGGAGCGGAAGTAAGACCTCTTGTGGCCCTATCGACGTCTGACGTCAAGGAGACCGATTCTGTCTGCTGATGGGATTGCCGTGAAATCGTAAAAGCAGAGCACTGACAGGTGGGGAGTATTCGAAGACCCGTCGGCTGGAACATATCAGATTGTCATGCCTCTTTCGCGATATATGCAACTCAACCGGTCGTTTGCCAGCGTCGCGAATTTCTCAGAAAATGCAGATGGAGGCAGCAAAGCAACTCAAAGGTCTGTACGCGGGGGATCCCCTTGGGTTGCTTCTCACCTGGTTGGGGGTAGAGGAAGACGGGTCGCAGGCCCCCCCCGCAGGGAAGACTTGTGGGCTGTTGCCTGAGGCTGGGGGGTTCGTTGGCGCGGGATTTGAGGGGGGGTTCGTCGGCGCGGGGTTTGAGGGGGGGTTCGTTGGCGCGGGAGTCGAGGGGGGGTTCGTTGGCGCAGGAGTCGAGGGGGGGTCCGTTGGCGCTGAAGTTGAGGGGGGGGGAGTAGAAACAGGGGAGGTGGAAACGTCCATGGGAACTGCGAGAAGAGTCGGAACAGGCTCGACTCCATCTTCTCGTGCTTGGGCTTACTATGCTTTTTGCCATGGTTGGATTTGGCTCTTTCAGAGTGGCCGATGTCGCCAAAAGAAGCCTGAGGAATTCAATAGGTGCGGAATCTGGCAGCAGAATACCGGCCTCAAAAGTCGCGCTTTCCTTATCCCATCTGTGGCCGGCGCTGAAAAGTCCGTTCTTGCGCACGTACTTGCGGAATAGACCAGTTGAACGGATTAACCGGCTTTCCCTAATTTGACGCTGCTAGGACGAGGTTAAAGCTCTTTTTCGTGTCACTGCTTCCTCTCTCAAAATCCAGCCGACTAATTTGAAAATCCTGGTTTGATCATTCCACAGCGCGAACGCCTTGAAAATGTGGGTGCGAAAAAGAGGGCTTGGAGCGAGGTCTCACCAAGAGTCTTGCAGTCCACAGGTGCAAATCCGAGCCGGTTGTTGTCGTTGTCGTAGACGATCTGCAGATAGAGGGGTTACGATATAGGCTTCAGACACTGTAGCATGGGCAGGAAAAAGGAGCGAGCTGGTGGCGACAGACATGAGTCATGTTGCACATTATTGGTCGCCCATCATTTTATTTCTAAGCCCCGAGTCAGACTGTTCGGGCGCCCATACAACAAGCCAGCCGAACGGACTGTTCGGACATGAGAGGAAATGATTTAATCTGACCAAGGACTTCAGAGAGTTCTCTTACTAGCTGCGGTTTTGGTAAGTCAGTCGGACAGATTTTGACGATGATACGACGTAGTATGACTCAAAGAAGCGCTTTCCAATTTGGGAAAGCGGGACTTTCGGCTGCTCGAAACCAGCAGATCGTCCCCATCGATTTCTCTGACGAGAAACAAGATTTCGCCTCGCTTACGACGGAAGGAGACCTGTTTCGACGAGCACCTAGGCGACCGTGAGTTTGAATCTAGATGTTCGGCCGAGGGCCTTTGTACACAACAGATTAAGCCTGCGCGAAAACGGTTTCTTCGAACGGTTTCGGACGCATAATTGTCGACTCACCAGGTTGTCCGACATGAAGCTGTCCCCGATGACGCGTACGTTGCTGCTCTTGACGTCAGCGAGCCCCGGATTCACGCACCACTGCCCCTGCGGTCCGTACCGTCCGAAGAGCGCGTACGCTTTTGGACGCGACGTCAGGGGGCCTCCCTGAAGGAGGGAATATAGGCACAACTCAGCCGCAGCGAAAAGGGCTGCAAGAATATCTGGGCCGTCGGATGCAAATCAGACGGTGGGTTATTGGCCACCAAGATCGCCTCGACCACTCTGCCAAGCTCAAAAACATGATTGCTTTTGTAGAGGATCCAGTGCAATGGTTTGGCGGATCTTCCCTTTAGTCGGCCTCTGACCCAGACGTCGTCTCGAGGCATATGGTCAGCGAGACGCTCAGCGCAATACTCTTACGAGATTCGAAGCGCCATATATAGTTCCCGGCTGGCGTGAGAGCCCTTTGGCCTCAACCTCTCATGCAAAATCACCACCAAGATCCACGACCATAGTTTTTAGCGTTGGACGTCCCGGAAGCGGAATGAGGACGAAATTCGCACGACCGAGTCTCCGAATCGTGGTGATTGGCGGGTCTATCGCAAGTCTTGTCTCACGGTAAGACTTTCCGAACTGCCCATTTTGGGTTCGGGGTTGTGCCCATTTGGATTCGGGGTTGCTGAACATGCATTGGACGAGACTAAAGGCCTGGGCCATCTGACGGCTCACTTGGAGGTTCAGCGTCAACGTGGGGAATCGGGCGTAGATCTCGGCGGAACTAGGGTTGGCGGAAAACGGGGGGTTGCACGTGCTCAGGTCGATGAAGTCAAGGCCCGAGTTTTGGAGGTTGACGAACGTATTGGGGCAGCCGGAAGCAGACTTGACCGCGGAAAAGACGGCGGAGAAGACGGAGCTCGGGACGTAGGACAACGTGGTTCCTGTGACGGGGCAGAACATTAGAGGATTCGATTGTAGGTCAAAGAACTTTCTTGAGAACGGAGAAAAGTCTGTCGTAGGTCGAAGCAAGTCTTTTTGAAGTAGAGGAGTTTCTTGTTAGTCCAGAGGAGTAGGTCAGATATCAAAGCCGGACCGATAATTGAACAAAGAATCCGGCCGGACAATCGGACGGAGAAATTGGACGCATGACTGCACAATTAGCAACTGACTTGTGATTATGGTTATCCTGGTCGAACGAAGGAGGTCTCTTCTTCAAAGTCTTTCTTGGGGTATCCTGTATATACGAATTCCTTTCTTCTCCCGCGTGTAGTAAGAAAAATTTGATTTCGAGGTCGACATTTGTGTACTAGGGGGCTGCGGCAACAGACGAGACATTGATTCAAATCAGGCCCGCCCATTTGATCTACTTTGGAGCAGCTCTCCTAGCTCCCAATCCCCCTAATAAACTCTCTGCGATCTCTATCAACAGCCACCAGCTTTGATTTTAGCTCACGGTCCAGGTTCAGCTTGGATCAACGTCCTATCGTCATTGAAAGATTGATACAGACAAAGCTGTAATCATGTTTCTGCATAGTCGAGACAAGTCTTGAGGATCAGCCCGTTATATCGAATCAAGTGTGCACCAAATCCTCCAGCCTGAAGATCAGGGCAAAGTCAAAGGTGCGACCTTTTGGTATCAGGGCAAATGGCAGATACAGCTGAAAACTTGCTGGGTTCGAAGCTCTCCATCAAATGTCTTCCGGTTCATTCTCACCGAGAGGCAAACAGAAGCTACCAATCCAGCGACAGCTTTTCATAGGACATGAAAACAGGAACCCCAAGTGTGAAAACAAGCTATCAGGGCCATCAGACTTCACAAGATCACCTTTTGTTCGCACCACAGGAGGGTAGCTTTTCCTATCGACAAGGATAAACAAAAGCTCGGAGCTTATTCTCACCAGAGTCCACAACCCAGCGTACGCCCCCCTCCCCAGTCAGCGCCCCCGCCGCCCCACTCACCGACACCCCCCCAACTAGGAAATCCGTCGGCTGCGGAATCATGTAGTAAACAAACGGCGTCTGCAGGAACGGCGTGTAGCTCAGAGAGTACCCCTGGCCGTTTGGCTGATCTGGGACCCCCCCCAAAAAGAGACTTCCCCCTGTGTCCCCCCCTGAAGCGAGGCAGAGCGCAAATGTTGCTGACGGGATTGCGCCTGCGGCTTTGAGTTGGAACGGGAGCGAGGTGGCGGTGGGGCCGAAGCCGAGAAGTCCCCCCGTTCCCTCAAACATGTTCTCGTAGACGGTGGTTCCGAAGAAGATTGACGAGGCGGAGATGGGGCCGATCGACAGCGAGTCCTGGACATATTGTCCGGCAGCGTATCCGGACCCGAACGCGATGGAAAATTGGCACGTTCCGGGGGAGGAAAACCCGTTGCCAAGGCAACCCACGTTGCCAAAATCGGCGCCGCTCGAGCACTGGCCGCAGCTGAGGTTTGGGTTAGCGGAACTTGACTGAGCTGGGTTATAGCTTAACCCGTAAGGGCAGGTCGAGGGGCCCCCATACGGGTTGCTGGCGCATCCGAATGATCCCTCTGAACAGGCCACGCATCCGGACCCCTGGACAAAGTTGACGTGACTTCCGGCGTCGACAACCAGGGGGAGGCTGACCCCTGGGGTTCCCAGGTTAACATTAACCGTAAATGCTGCCACAGAGGAGAGGTAACTGCCGCCTAGGGCGATGTTTGGGACGGCCGCAAAGTTGCTGGCGCTGATAGGAAAAGCTTCACTGGGGGAAATTTCCGTGGGGGAATCCTCAAAGAAGGTAACCCGGGACTCGAGCTGCTCAACGAGCTTGTTCCAGGGGAGTTGTATCTGGGTTACCTCTAACTGGGTTTGCATTTCTGCTGACTGGGGTGGATCGTCAAGGAGACGGCGGGCTGTGGCCAGGAAGGGCGAGAATGACAGGAGCGTGAGAACTAGTATGAGGGACCGGCCGTGGGGTGCCATCGTGCTGCTCAGAGCTGAAAGTGCGGACTTGGGGTTGGCAAAGCTGAGATCTTGATTCGCCTTGAGCAGTCCAGCTTCCAAGCTGTTGGTTTCCCAATGTATCTAAGGTTTCTGGTTTGATCCTTTCAGATGGTTAGTATACTGTTAGCTGGACCTATGTGGTATCACCTCTTTCCTAACAGTGAGCTATTCTTCTTGGAATGGCTGTTCTTTTTCCCAGCAAGCTGTTCCCTTTTTGCAAGCTGACAACTTCAATGCAATGTCGAGCTGAGTCTTCTGTGGCTGAGCTAGAGTTTGTTGTGCTGGCAGCTGAAGAAACAGCTCTGCTAGTGTTGGTGCCGGGCCGCTACACTGGACACCAAAAAGCTAAAGCTTACAGTCACCTTTTAAATGTCTTTAGCTGCAGAGTGCCCTAGTCCCCCTTTGAGGAGCAGCAAAAAAAGGGGCAGCTGTGTTGCATGGTATTTCGAAAAGACCAGGAAGAAAGAGCAAGATGGAGATTGCTGTGGGGATGCAGAATATCGTGTGATCGTGGCATTGCTTGGAGGCAGCTGAAAGGGGACGTGTTTGCTGCTCTTGTTACACAATGCTGGCTCCGCTGCTTGATCTTCTGCTTTCCACGAACAACCACAGCTGGAATCTTGAAGGAATACAAGAAAGGATGGAATGCAGAAAATATTGATAGGCGAACGCACAGGGACGGCCATCATAGCTGAGCCTCCAGCGACAATGCTAGACTACCCTAGCTATGCATTTGCGAATGAACTCATCATCCAAGATTCGCGAGTGCACCTATGCCCTGGCCGGAATCCTTGGGGGTGTGGACGTTTGCGCATCCGTGGACCGGCCGCCGGTTTTTCGCAAATGATGAACGTGCTCACAGGCACTTGCAAACCTATGTCCGTCGATTATGTCAGCTGAAGCATTTGAACGGCTCAGATTCTCGGAGAGGGCATCCGTCGAGGTTGCGCGAGGCGACAGTAACCGGCACGCAATGTGCACATGCGACGTGCCGGCTAATTTCGGCCCGCGTCTCTGCGTTTACATGGCGGCCGGTTGAGGAACAGGGGTTCTAGCAAATTTTTTCCGGCCGTGCATTCTGCACGGCGGGCTCCGCCCGGCCCTGCAGCGGCCTTGCCGGCCGTGCAGCTGAGAGCCCCGACCCCATGACTATGCCCGGGCTTTTCCCCCCTGACGCTGCAAACCATTTACGGCCTGCTATTCGGTGACGTTGATATTGGGCGTTTCCGTACCATATGACAGATATCAAACGGGATACGACGTTGATACCCCGTTCATATTAAATGCTGCAATCCAGGCTTCCTTCAAAACCCCCTTTAAAATCTCTGCGAGGCATTTTAGCCTTGCTAAACGATCCACACCGTCCAAAAGGTTCCATCGACCGCCTTACACGATAGTAAGGTTGCGGGAGTGATTCAAGGGGGCTTTGGTTCTGTAAAGCCGGGCCGGGTCAAATAAAGGAGTCCTATAGCAGGACAAACGTGCCCTGAATACCTATACGTACTCGATTTATCAGGTTTTTCGAGACTCTGGAGTACTGCCGTCGACGGAGAGTGCCCGGCCAGCGGGACAACTGGCGAGAACAAGGGCACCGGGCCTGCACGGCATTCTGCACGGCGGGCTTCGTCCGGCCGTGCAGAAATTCCCCCGGCCGTGCTATGCACGGCGATCTGCACGGCGCCAGAACCCCTGTTGAGGAATCGAACCGCCTGCAGGCTGCAGGCTGCAATGAAATGGTTTATACAGCTAGTACCGCGAAAGAGGATCCGCTGTTTGGGTTAGCTCAATTGGCTGGAGCGTTGTGCTCCGAACCCATATTCCCGGGTTCGATTCCGACCAGGTCAATCTGGTCGCTGAAGGCCGAAGTCGCTGTCGTATAGTGGTTAGTACCTCACGTTGTGGCCGTGAAAACCTGGGCTCGAATCCCAGCAGCGACACCTTTTTTATTGGTCTTCCATTTGGCTCATTCGGAGTTCAGTTAGATCTTCCATTCGGAGCGATCGGAGTTCTGTTTTTGAATGCAAAGTCAGGCAACTTTCAGAGATTTTTGTTGTTCGACATGACCACATGAGACATGCACTCAAGACCGCAGTGCACAGGGAACCTTCGATCTTGTGGCCGATGAGCTAGAATGGACAAGTTCAAGGAGCTTTCAAATTTCTGAATTAACAGTGCAGATCGTTACCTACTTTTTGCTTCATGTATGCAATTCGAGCATGCGCGGAGACATCCTTTTGTACGAGTTTTGTACAAGGTGTAAAATACTTGCATATATTCTTATACCTTTTGAGTTCCAAATTCTCTCGATTGATCTATTATAGGCTGGCTTGAGCATTGTTGCCATATAATAGAGAATTGCCTCGAGTAAACCAGAGCGACGTCATATGTCATCGTGAAATTGTTTGGGACGCACATCAATTCTCAGAGGCTTCATATTGCCGCTGCTGTTGCAGTTTTGACAAACATTGATGTTGTTACAACAGCCACTGGCACGCGAGCTTGGAGCAGGCATATTTTGGTTATTTCAGAAAACCCTGATAAGCCCAGCACAGTTTTTGGCTTCTAACGTGCAACTTATATAATTTGTACTTTGTAATATACCCCCCTCATACTCCCTCAATTCAACGCTCGTTTCGATTGACAACGCTTTGACCTCTTAGTACTTCTACTAAGTCAAATTCTCAAATGCAATTTGACCCTAATGCAAATTTATCAGGACCACCGATGGTAGTCCACCACGTGCTTCCTAGATAAGGAACTACACCTGCATTTCCTTGACCGTCGAGCTTCTGTGTCGACGTTAGGGGTATACATCAGTAAAGACGTTCACGCTCCTACTCTCCTATATTGACCTTAGAAAGCATACAATACTACAGACTATTTGTTGGAGGGTTCGAAGCCTCTAGCTGCACTTGCTGCGGCGCTAAGAAAGAGTCCATTAACGCTGAGATCAATGCCCGTACTTATGAAAACCAGATTGGAGCGGCTGCGCTGACCACGATCCAGTCATCTCGTGCCCATCCACCCCCCCCTCGTAGTGGCACAACCTTACAAACACACGCGTCTTCTTCCGAAATCAGTCGGCTGCCGTCACTTGACCTCCTTATAAGATACACCCAGAACACTGACCCCCATCGAAGTTAGAAGTCGGTCTCGTTACTACTACACATTCTTTTCCTCCCCGTCGATCAAGCCTCCGTTTTGTCAACCGCAGGCCCGTCCTCGACGTCCGAGTCCGTTTCGTACAACTTGTCCGCATTCTTGATCTTCCACGCCTCATGGCGCCTAGACCAATTGTCCACGATAATGGCAGCGCAGGCATCACCTGCAAATGGGCACCTAGGATTAAGCAACTTTTTGGTGTCGAACAAGACAAGCTTGCGAATCGAGCAGGCTTCCATCTTTACCCGCCAGCTATCCGGACTGGCTGACTGGAAAGAGGACAAACCGAAGCACCTTACGAAACAAGCGGGTAAGGACAACCTACACGGACAACTTTCCTGTGGCCTGAAGAAACTGGCGACATGCAGAGACATGCGTCGAACTTGTGAGGCATCGTGGATCGAACACAAATATGAGCAGAACCTGCAGCTTTGAGCATACAATTATTCATTCATGCCTTGCTTGCAATCAAGGCTTACCAAAGATGTTGACGGAAGTCCTGGCCATCCCCAAGAACCAGTCCACGGCGATGAGCACCGAGATGTCTCCGACGTACTGGCTTAGACCGACAGCCTGTAACCACAGAGCCAAGGTCCTTTCAGGTATGTTTCACAAAGCAGGGCTGTACCGAAAACACTCTTCCAGTCCGCCGACGTCGAAAGTCGGCCTATTTGGGACTCATTACGTACACAGTGTGAGAGAAGCTGATTCGATGACATCACTGGCTCTACAGGCCTACCGAGTGCTCCTGCTCGTACCCTTTTTCAGTTCTGACTCGGCTTGCAAAATCGGGTAAAAACACAGACCGACTACTGTCAAAAGGGTGCCTTATGCGCTGCGCGTGCTCAGATTCCGTGGTCTGGGCGGCTTCTACCCATACACTCCCAGAGTATGATGCAATAAACGCTTTCAGAGAAAGGCAAAGAAAACGTGGCACTGACAAAGTTTCCGATCCACGCACTCGACAGCTTCGCACCCACTGTCTTTGAATGACCGACGGGAGGTCGAAAAGCAGTGCACGACCAAAATCTTGGAAAACACTTCTCTTCTGCGGGGATCATCTCCGAAACGTTTGCCTAAAACTTCAATTTAGGGTGGCCGTAATGCCAGAAGAAGGTGTCCTCACCCGGAGCACGGTGATCAAAGTTACGATGGCGCTGTTTGGGATGGAGGCGCTGCAGAGCCATAAGCGAGATGCTGTCAGTCGCTTAAATTATGACATTGGTCATGCAAGAGGTCGGAGCCCGCCGCAGTCCTGAACAACCCCATACCCGGCAAAGAAAGTGGGTGACGCAGAGCTTACGATTTTCATAGCTTAGCACAGGGTACATCGTTGCCTACCCGGCAACGTCCGAAGTGGCTGGGTAAGCCAGATCCACCGCTTCAGATCGCTACAGGACAGCAACATTGCTCGAGCTTCTTCAACGGCACTCAGAAACTTATAAACGCGTCACATATTTCCAAACTGGAACCACTCTTCTTCCGGTCCTGTTTGCATGAATGTACTTGAACGGAGACCGAAAGACCTTCCCGGGCGCATGCCTCAGATCAAAAGCTTCTCACCTTGGGCACCGACAGAGCTGGATACGAAGAGTCCTAGAAATGGCATAAAACATTTGAAGAATCGGAGCGCGCGAAGCAAGCTGTGGTTCGCGTGCGTGACTGGTTAAGATTCAGACCGGCTGAGGATATGCTAAAACCATAATCCATCAGAAAGCGGACGCCGTGCTTACGATCCAATGGCAGCCAGGGTAGCGGTGATCGCCAGCACAATGACGTTTCCCACGCTCAGCTTGACGCCATGGGCCTGCAGAGACACAAACAAACGTGATAAGAATTGCAGCCTCTATGTCATCCCCCGTCTCAAAGATTTCCTACTTTTCTTCGGACACGCCGACTCACAACGGCAGAAGGGAACACTTCGAGTGTTCCCTCCAGGCCTCGCTTCCACTGTCAGGAGAAGCAATCCTAGGGTTCACCGGTAGAGCTCCGTTCTGCCTCGGGTCAAATTCTCCCTTTCAAGATAGTGCGGCGAGAGGTTTGTTAGAAGTCGAGCGACCCTTCCTGATAGACCGAGAGCGTCTCAAAGGAATAGAAAAGACCGTGACTTCCACCCTAATCGAGACCAGCCTGACAGAAGGTACCGCTTGCTGTGTTTCTACCGAAGCAAAAAGCAACGAAAGAAGTTGAACCAAGTACTGGAAAGGCCCGCACTTGCAAATCCATCAGGTGTTGAAAGTGGAAGCAAAGGCGAAGTACAGTAGTAAATCCGCTCCCAGAACGTTACTAGCCTACCCCAGCACGGTCGTACCAGATGTTGTCACCTCAACGACGCAAAACAATGCGAAGCAGACTCGAGCAGGATAATGGCTCCATCAGGCAACATGCCGTTTGCCGAAGTTGCAATTATGGACAGGCACTAAAGTACGCTGGAAGCAATAGATATCAAGGACGGACTGGTCTTCGTCACCTGAGCAATGAAGAGTGCAGACGTGGCCTCATAGAGAGCTGCACCATCTCTGCAGCATAATCAGAGGAAGCCGTCTTAGAAAAGGGCATACGCGGAGCGCTGATTTCATAATCAGCGCGCGGGCAGCGCGCGCATGATGACGAGTCGCCACCCCATACGTTCAGCTCATTCGGAGGAGTCGCCACCCCATACGGTCAGACGTTCAGCTCGTTCGGAATTTGAGCAGGCAGCGTGAAATTGTCGCCATCCACCTTTGACTTCGCTTGTCATAACATGAATCTCAGCTTCGCTTGCAGATTTCTGCATACCTGTGCAAAAGTTGTGATCGTAGTTCGGAGAGGACAATCCTTGTTCTACTGCAGAGGCAAAAGGGAGCAGAGACTTCTCCATCACCCAAGATTCCGGATCGAAAAGCCTTGCCTGTTGAAGTTGGTTCCCAGCGGAACGACGAACTTGACGATGCTGGACTCCGCCCCAAAGTCCTCTGCGTTCTGCATGGTGACCGGCATGGTGGCTGCGCTCGAAGCCGTTCCGAAGCCAAGGAACAGGGCCGGGCTGAATGCCCTGCAAGTAAGGAGAGGAAAGGATTCCAGCTCTGGCTCTTGATCTGGCCTGCTTACTCGGCTTCACTGAACTTAAAACTTAGCCAGGCACAGTGTTTCTTTGCACCCCAGTCAGACAGGCCGGGTTTGGAATGGCTGCTTCTGCAATTCAGAACCAAATACTCGTCCCTCAGCTGCAAATTTCTAGCGAGGAAAGTAAAGACGGGCGGGCCAGTGAGGCGAAGGAAAGCAGCAGGAGAACATACAACCAGGACACTTGAAGCAACTAGGAAACAGTGTTACATCTCCCTTTTGCATAAATCAATACAGAGGACCAAGGAACGCTTGACCGATATTAAAAGGCGCGAGCCAAGACCATGCGATTCCTTGAGCCTCGAGCAGACTCTTTAGGTTTCTCAGAAGCAAGGATTTCGATTGGGCGATACCAACGTAGCTCTTTCGCCGTCCTATTTACGAGTCCCTCAATGATCGGCACGAGGGGCAAAGCAAACAGCAGAGGTTCCATGCAACTTAGAATCTGGTAAGCACGCTAGGCCTCATCTGAAGCAACAATCAGGAACAAAGTGAATTGAGAAAGGGCTTTTCGAGACCCTTTTTCAGAGGCTATGGATCGAGAGCATGCGCTGCCGCAACGCAGCGGTGGGGACTTACCTGAAGACTCTCAGCGGATTGATCCCCGAGAAGGTTAAGCAGGTCAGTGGCAGGAATATAAAGAGGTGAATTCCGAATCCTGCATCACAGAGCACACGAAATGAGTCGGAATCCAAGAAACGACTTCTGAATACACACGCAAGACGGGGAGAGTCGCATGAATGGTGCATTCTCTAGGCCTTCGACCTTCATTGCATCCCCAGAAGCGGTCGGTACTCTGACAAACCTGTCAGTGCTTTGAAGCAACAATCTGCGCGCCTACATTCGACGAGCCTTGAACCAGATTGCTCATCTGAAAGAGTGTAGCGATTAGCAAAGGACGACCATTCCTGCCAATCTGCTTTCGGGACGCAATTTGAGCTCTTACAGAGAACCGAGATTTCCACCGGATTGAATCCCACCTGCCAAAACCGTCGCGACGTACTTGGCCAGGGCCTTGAGAACGGCCGTGATGTTGCACGCCTTGAGGATGAACCCCGCGACCAATGACCCGACGCCAATTGGCGTCAGCCAGATGACGAGCGTAATCATGCCCATGATGGTGTCGTTAGCGATCTCAATCACCTTGATCAGAGGCTCAGCCATTGGACCTGCAGCAAGAAACATGGTTCCATAAGGTTGAACAAGATGCTTCCGTTAACCGTGATCTGCTTGTATCATTCATGGCATTGCAGCACCTCTATCTTTGGACAGGATCATGGGTCCAGATCGGAGTAGAGTCGTCGACTTGCATGAGGAAAAGGAGACCCGACTGTGCGAGCAGACAAGCTTACAGAACATGGACTTCCCAACCAGAAGTCGAATGAACCTCTTCTGCTTTAGAACTCAGGATGCAAATTGCTGCGAGAACTCAAGCTGATTGCAGTCGTACTTTGTGCTTATCCGTGGAGGCAAAGGCCTGCGATTTACAAGCTTAAGCGCAACTCAGCCAACCGTGACTGCGTGAGCAAACCGATTCTAGAAGCACGCTTGAACAGGCCATCTTGCTGAACAAACGAACGTTTATTCGTTGAAATTTTTCAGCCGAGAATGGACAGCAATCTGTGAAGCGAGAACGCTTTTGAAGAGATAAGTCTGCTAACTATGATGAAGCCCGGCGGCATCGGAAGTAGCTTCTCGTGATCGAGACCTCTTACCCAGACTGATGAGGACGGCCCCAAAGAAGATGGAGAACACCATAACCCCTGCAGAAAAAGCGATACTTTGTCAGGAACAGACTGCCGTCCGACTTCTGTCAAGGATGAAAGTAATCTTTTCACGGAGGAGTTCTGAACCTAACGTTTGAGTCGGTTCCGCGACTGCATACAAACAGGAACGTACGGACCCTGGAAAGACAGACTTCGGAACGGTCTGGAACAGCCGCTACACTTTTCGGCTGTAGAGAACGTACGAAACCCTGTCGATTTCGGTCAAGGGAGACGCTTGGCAAACAATATAGAAATATGACCAGGTCTGGAGCGCACAGGCTGCTCTGCAAGAGTGGCTGTCCACGCTGACTGGCAATATGAGGGGATTGGATTTGTGCAGGGAATCGAGTTCGGCAGATTTTGAAAGGACAGGTCAGACTCGGTCTGATGGAAGCCGAAAGCTTACCAAGATAGTTGTTGCCGTAGGATGCTACAACCTGTAATCAAGCACCAGGAGATAACGTAAAGATGGATTCCAAATCGGAAGCACTTGGACAGCTAACACGTGTTCGAACGTACCATTTCAAACGAACAAAGGGCCGCATGCCAGTGGTAAAATGAAGCACCACCTTGAAGTGGAGGGGTATGATTATAAGGCTCTTCCAAATGCTTCGAAGAAAGACAATCAGGCTTGATGAGTTTCTGATTGTCACCGAGAAGGATTCGAGCGAGTTCTGCACAGGTGGCTTTGAGGAGCTGCTTACGATGTTGCTGGGAAACATGCTCCTTCCAAGGTTCAACAGTGACTCCACGGCATCGCCGGCTGAGGTGCTCCTGAAGAAACACGCTTTGAAAGTTATGAGCTTGCTTCGTCGAGTTCATTCACCCCTGGTTATATTCCTTCGGGAAGAGAAGCAGGCCGGGAGATAATGAAAGCCATCTACTACGAGGGATGAATGAGCTGTAGGTCATTTGATCGGCCTGCGATCAAGCTGACAGCGGTGGCAGATGTGTGAGCTTTTCCTTCGATGACACGGAGACGAAAGTGTCTTGAAAAGGTCCTCTGAAGCACCTAATACAGCTGAGGTAGGCCTTGGCAAGAAGTGCAGAAACAAAAGACAGGCTTGTGTATTGAGTAGCGACTCCAGAATGTCTTTGGCAGTGTTCCTAATTCGAATAATGTCCATCGTCCACGAGATCATCTGCAAAGCTCGACAAGGCTTCCAATAAACGGTCAGCTCCGACCACAACGAGATAAGCCTTCAGAGCTCACACTGAGTTAGCGACGGTAGAGTTTTTGGCCTTGCCGCACTGCGTCAAATCCCCGTTGCCAAAGGGTCGGCCCGACCCAGGCCTGATTGCATACACGAGCGCAACACCTGTCAAGAAAGATTAATTTCGATTCAACTTTCAAGGAGGACGATTTTATAAAGGAAGCCACCGGATTCCTGGTGCTGACCACGAACAAACATAGTAGGAGAGACTGGTTATCACATGATTATATTGGATGCACATATATAGTGACAAAATGGGGAGATGCACCTGGTGGTGTTGACTCGGACACACCCACAAGCCTGCCAGGGTCATGAATCTTCTAGGGCAACATAGACTCGAGTCGTTGCAACAGAGGTGGCAAAAGAAGTGGCTTTGGCCTGTTCCTTTGAAGAAGCTGCAATAAAGGATTCCTCCACTGGGGCTTCTGGTATTCCGGTATTCTGCTATTTCGGTATTCACCTACCAAGATCAGATAGGATGAAGAAGAAGAAACAAGCACAACCGAGGCAGAAGGCTTACTAAGGCCAACTGCAAGGAACATGGAAGTGAAGTAGTACATCATGGCCCACTTGGCAATGTTTGCAGCCCTGGAAGGATGCAGGAAGGCAGATTAACATCCCCACAAACCTTGAAGGTCGATTGAGATGGTTGCAACTTTTGAACTGGTCAAAGGGGGGCTTGGACTTGTCGAGCAGGATCCGCAAATGAAAGAATGAATCTCAAAGGTCAATTTCGCCTTCTCTTTCCTACTAGTGCTGGATCGAGTTTCTCAGTGCGTGACCATCTGGAACCGCGCCTCAGTTTTACAAAGGCCCTCACCCGCTTGTTGTGTGCCGCAGGCTCATCACTCCGGTCATCAGCGCCAACGCTACTAGGGGGAGTACAAGCTCTGACAGCCCGTTCAGGAACAATTCACCCGGGTACCCTGCAGAATTTAGCTCCCCTTGAGACTGCGAAATGGTGCAGATGCATGCAAACAAAGGGCTCAGGGTGTCTTTTTCCATCAGTTCCTCTGATCATATTGATTGAGCTCACTGCTCCGGTCGTACCAAAGGACTGCCTCGCATAGGCCCAATGCGCTAGCTCTGGTTGCTTCCAATCAGGCCTCAGACACAAGCTTGCAGATTTTGTAGAGGCCGCATCGAACCGGTATCATGGGGGCAATCAAAAGATCGTCTTGAAGGAGCTTGCAATCACATTGATCATTTTGAGAGAGTGCAGCGCAGGTGTCCAATAGAGGCTGCAAAGTGTAAAGTAACTGTTAATCTGAAGGCTCAAAAGTCCCTTACCAATCAACTCGATAGCCCTTGGGCTTGGCTTGGAGGTGTACAGCCCGGCTCCGATGGCAATCCCACCGGAAACCCCAGCGATGGTGAAGAAGATGAGATTCTCCTTGCGAACAAGCTTGTTCTTGAACGCCATCCACTTCTTCGTCCTGGGACCATATTTGCGGCGTTTCCCGGTGAGGTCCAGCCGTTCCACGGCGTTCTTTGCGTTTGTTGTGTCAAAGACTGTGGAACATGAGGACAACTTCTTAGTAGGAAGGAGGCATAAGGCCAGCCCTAGCCACCACAACACAATAAGCTCTGAAGAACACTTGGTGAGGTAAATCAGGATCGTTCAAAGTCCACATTTGAAGGTTCTTCTTCATCTGCCAGATTTCAGCCCCCTGCTGGTGATGTAACAACCACAAAGCTTGTGTACAGGTCCAATACTTAGGATCGAGCAGGTTTTCCATTTCAAGTCATGTCAATCTCTTCCCTTCTCTGTAGTAAGAAGAGACAGCTAGGATTCAGGTGCTTTGTCAAGACTTGACAATCCACCTCGTGTAATATGCACCAGAATAATATGCACCAGAAAAGTAAGGAGCTGGACATCAATAGATCAGCACAAGAATGGTGTAACTCTACATCGGCACGAGTCAGTAACATCCAACAGGAATCTGCAAACAAAGGCAGTTCGAACTTACCTGGGAACTCATGTCCCTCCCCCATTGCGATGTTTTGTGGGCTCAGATATGCTGGCGGCGCGCGTCTGGAGCTGAGCAGCTCACGGCGAGTCTCTCTCAATGGCTCATGCGAATCAACAAGGGCGCACTGGCTGGTTGCCACAATCTGGATATGTTGGGGCAGTCAGCTCCTTCGCAGTACTGGGTGAATGCTTTTACGGTATTTCTGGCAGTTTGTTCAGCTCATTCAGCAGCTCATGGCGATCGTTAATTTGGCTTCCTCAGCTTAAAGGATTCATTGCATAACTGGCCGTAGTTACGTAACGAGAAGGCCACATTGTGCGCCCCTTGTGGCATTCAATTATTGCTACAGAAGCAGCTGTATTTTCCCACGCCTCAAATGCAGGTAGGAAGTCGTCGCCAGTGCTGATAGTATGCAGTGGCATGCGGTGCACTGATCAGCACCATGAGCAGGCCCTGTCAATGAAGCGATCTAGCTGCACTGTCTAAATTACTGGCATGGACAGCAGCATTTCCGGGCCCAGGACCAGGCATAGCTGGTAGTGGCATATGACCTTCGGCATGAAACTCATAAGTCACAGTTGGCATATGGTATATCTCTGAAACAACATGCCAATATGCCCAAACGTACAGCGGATATGTCTTCGGACGGGTTCGAGACCCGTTCAGGAGTACAATCAAATATCTATTTTCTGCATGATTTGACGACTTCGAAGAGCTATAAACTTAGATCTATAAAGACGTACGTCTCTCTATTCAAAGTCAAAACATGGCATATGCCAAGTTGAAGTTCCAACGCCGATGTCATTACTGGCATGGACACATACTTATAGTCTTCTCAGCTTGCATATGGCATGTTGTCCGACGTGATTTTACGTTGAGTCGGTTTTACTAAACGCCTGGTCCGTGGCCAGAAGACTGCTAATTCCGGCTTTCCGGCCGGTGGGTACAAGTGACGAACTCTGTACCGGTACAAGCACTTAGCATACACCAGCTGTCCTGCGCTGCTGCCATGGGGTGCACTGCAGTGCACTGCGCAGGCTGGCGAGTATCCTGATTCCTGACTCATTATAATACCTATCTGAGACTGAAGTGAGGGCCCCTGAAGTGACGCCGCGTCCCGCTTGCGAAGAATTGACCGATACAAAAGCCAATCAGAATGCCCCACCCGGCAGGTGCTGACGTTTTGTTACGTACTCAAATACTAGCTCGGCTGAGACGGTGAGACGGTCCAGGGTTTCCAACGGACTTTTGTCCCGGCCGGCCAGCTGCCGGCGCCCCCCCGGTTCTGCCGGCTCGGTAGCCAGCATGTTTGGTTTACCGGCCGGCTGAGCCCACTAAGCGCCTGCATTTTCTGCCGGCTGACCAGCCGGCAGGGTGCCTTCGGCACCGGCCGGGGTCTCTTCTCGGCCGGCCAGGTCCAAGTGTAGCTGCCGGCTGTGGGTCGGAAACCCTGGTGAGACGGCGGAATTCATTAATTTACAGAATACCTAGCCCGATTCCCAACTGACAATTGGGACCAAGGGTTAACTTACGCAGGCAGCTCCGATCACCTAGGTCTATTAGGCAATACGCTCGGTGGTCTCTGTGAACCGCTCTCATCAACCCGTGTAACGTACCCCCGTGTAACCCATGGTTTGGGCCATGATGCACGATCAGGAACTGTCATCATACTAGCGTGAACCGCGCTTCAAAACAAGCAACGATTGGTCGATTTTGACACGCGTGTCATGTGTTCCACGTGGTAAGCTGTCAGATAAATACGCGGGTGCCAGCGTCACAGGCGCTGGCCCCTAGCCTGTGGGTCGTCCGATGACCGATCTGAATGATAAAGACTGACTCTGAGGGCACGGCACGGCGCCGGCCGCGTCCTTCCAGCGAGCTGCTGAGTCAGGCTATAGCCGCAATAACATTTCGATAATTAAACAGTAGCAGTAGTCGTGACTCGTCAAGAAGGATCGAAATGCAGCCGGTGTCACGTTTGCATTGGTTCTGAGAATATGTGCAACCTTCTGAGGAGCGATGCCAGTTGAAGTGCATCACGGGATCATCACGGGCGTAGTCGGTTATCTTGAGATGCAGAGGCTGTCGACGTTCGACTACTGCAAAAACTCGCTCTCAACTTGGCGAGACCTTACGCTTGATGCATCTTGAAATCCATCATCCACCGGCCTTATAGGAATGCCGCAAACCACGGTCAGTTTTGGTCTACCTTTCTGAATTGACGTCCCCATGAGCGGTCTCATCATGCACTGCGTCAAAACAGTAAAACAATAACATCAATGGAGGCGCACGACCCCTAGTAGGCTGCAAGAGCTATGAGCTATTCAAAGTACGATTACCTGGAATACTTCGCTGTTCTAAGCTTCCTCAACTACTGATGCGGTTTGACCATGCACTCACTTGTACTCAGTTCAACTAATTCCAGGTGGCAATCTAACCTACGTGAATAATATTGATGATATTCCAGACTCTACACTACGCTTCCCAGATACTTCCATTGCACCTGCATTTCCTCCACGAGGACTGCGTATACAGCCTTCTCAACGGAAGTTGGAGAAGTGAGCTGTTCACGCTGCTATCGGACCAGGAATATAGTAAGAAACAACATATACTTCTGGAGGGATTGAGCGCCAAAACCTATCCCTGTATTCATGGGAAACTATGACATAGCGGGTGCGCTAACCGTTCATCCACTTATGCTGCCAACTCCGCCCTTCGTAGTGGCAACACCTTAACACACGCGTCTTCTTTCGAAGAAGTAGGTTGCAGCCGCTGTGACATCCTAGCGGCATCTAAAATTATCAAACTTGCATCGACGTCAGAAGTAAACCCCGTTCGTAGTACACATTCTCATTCATTAGAATCAAGTCTCTATTTGTCGTTAGGAGGCCCGTCCTCGACGTCCGAATCCGTTTCGTACAGCTTGTCCGCGTTCTTGATCTTCCACGCCTCATGGCGCCTCGACCAGTTGTCCACGATAACGGCAGCGCAGGCATCACCTGCAAACGAGCGCTCTATGCTTTCAGCAATTCGTGGTCAGCGTTTCCAACTATCTTCTAACAGAACGAGATGGGCTTGCGCCGCCAGGTGACGAAAGGTCCATCGTAACAGGCCAGCTGTTCGGATAAGCAAAGGCCAGTTTGGAGGCAGTTGATTGCTTAAGCCGGTCGCAACACCCAAAGCGGATAAGCTTCTGTAGGCTGAGGAGAGACAACCATCATAACGGGCCAGCTGCCCGGACTAGCGCCTTACTGCACACACGGATCAGGACACCCTGTACGGCCAGATAATTTCTGGAGAATCTTCTAGCTTGAGAAGAAACGACATGCAGGAGCGTGGTTGGAAATATGCGGTAAGCGTCGTCAATCCCAAAGATGCGCAGAACCTGCCAAACATGAGCACCGAACTTTCTGAAAACGGTGAGTCAGAGTCCTCCTCGTTGCAGTCAAAGAAAAGACTCACCGAAGATGTTGACTACCGTCCTGACCATTCCCAGGAACCAGTCCACGGCAATGAGGACCGAGATGTCTCCGACGTACTCGCTCAGACCAACAGCCTGTGTCACGGAGAGAAAGTCCATTCAGATTTGTGTCAAAGGTTCAAAGGTTAGAACCCTTTGACAATCGGTCAACACTGACAATCCGATTCGGGATGGAATTGGAACAGCCGGTATGAGAGAGAGGAAGTTTTCGCAGCCCATGACTGGTTTTGTTTGTCCCGACCATATTGTCCCCAAGCCAAAGGGGCTTTACCCCATGCACTCCTTGATCATACTTCCGGAAGAGGCTAGACCAAGACAAACGGTATGAAGGAGCCTCGGTCCGAGAACAGAGCACTAAATGAAGTCTCCGGTCCGCCCACTGGACGGCTCTGCACCGACTGACCTTAGAGCGACATGAGACCAGAACCCACAGTGAGAGAATAGTTCCCGAGAGAGAGTCTTGTCCGCAAGTCCTGACATCGGTACTCTTCTCCTCGAGAAGTGTCTGCGATTGTCCAAAGAAGAAAGCCGCGGGCGCATGAATTCACTCACCCGGAGCACGGTGATCAACGTCACGATGGCGCTGTTTGGGATGGAGGCGCTGCAGAACAACGAGCGATATGCGGTCAGTCGGTTTTCGTCATGCCGAGGTCGTAGCTGGCTTCAGAAGCTACATAATACGCAGCAAAGGAAGTGTAGGCTTCTGAGTTTACGTGTGTACTTATTGTCACAAAAGCATCGTTCTCTACCGGGGTGCGAAGTGTCCGTAAGCCCAGATCCATGGCTTTAGCTTTCGAGGGGGAACAGCAAAATTCGTCAGACAATTCTCCAACGACACTCCAAAACATCTGATCGACTTATGGCCTTGTGATCTGGAACCCGCTTTCTTACGGTCCCGCTCGCAGGCGTTTTGTGACGAGAAGGGTAAGCGACAACCCTTCTCACTTGCTATGATCTTTCCGCCTCCTTCAAGGAAGCACTTGGAGATACCAGGGTTCCCATAAGCCGTTTCAACTTCAAGAGCTGGAGCGCCCATTTCAAAGCACTAGTCTCCGTGCGCGGCTCATCAAAGTTGAAGATGCCGAAACCACAACCAATCTGGATGTCGCACTTACGATCCGATAGCCGCTAGAGTAGCGGTGATCGCCAGAACGATGACGTTACCCACGCTCAGCTTGACGCCGTGAGCCTACACGAAGACAATCGAAGCTTGAGAAACCTTGAAGCGGCTCTCCAATTTTCGCGTCTTGAATACTTTTTTTGCTATCTTGCGGGGCCCCCGAAGGAGGTCCCAAAGGACTCTGGAGCAGCTATCTGAGGAATTTTGACTTCTCAACAGGCCCTCCAGTGAACCAGGATCCGCCCTTTAGAAGCCGTCGACTGAACCCGGATCTGGCTCCCTTTGAGCCCTTCGTTTCGAAAGAAGCGCGGCCAGACGTCTGCTAGAATACTCATCGGTCACTTCTGATGGATCGGAACGTTTGGGGAAGCGAACGAAAGCTGAAGAAACATTTCAGTTTGAAAGACCTTGAAACGAGTCCGCCAAAGGGTCCACTTGCTGTGTCACTTCCTATTCACGGCAGGACCGGAAACTCATACATCAGAAAGGCTTGTGTACACTTGCACTTTCCTTTCAAACTGTAAGATTCACCTGAGGACGGAGGAGTGTGTTTGCCACCACGAAAGTCCCTGAGCCTACGTTATTTCGTAGTCCGGCTGTGCCTGACGCGGTGCTAAACGACGCAAAGAATACGAAAGCCAAACAAGTGGACTGATGCTTTGGATAATCAAGCGTGCCGTCCGTCAAGGTTGAGTCCAAAGGCGTCCATAACGTCTTCTGCAAGGAATCGCGCTTAAAAGTAGTGGAAATGAGGAACAAAACTGCTTACTCACCTGAGCGATGAAGAGAGCGGAAGTGGCCTCATAGAGAGCTGCACCGTCTCTGCACCAAATTGAAAAGATACTGTCTCAGTAAAGGCAGTACTTGAGAACGCGTTTTACGATAAAGAACTGCGCGCGGTTCTTACCCCGCCACTTCAGCTCGGTTCTAAGATTCCTACACTAGTATTCCAGGCGTTCAAAGATTAACAGGCAGCAACCTCCTTGTTGTGAATCAGCACAGCACCAGAAGAGAGTGACCGCGTCTGCGTCCGCTTGAGTGGTGAAACGAACCGCACAGCTCCGCTGGCAGCTTATCGCTTTGTCGTACCTGTCAGAGTTTTGCGAGCAAGGTATTTTCTGCGGGCAAAAGTTTCCCAACTACGTAGAAATAAACGAGTCAGAGCGTTCTCGACTTCATTGGGAAGTCGAATCGAACAGCCTTGCCTGTTGAAGTTGGTACCCAGCGGGACGACGAACTTGACGATGCTGGACTCCGCCCCGAAGTCCTCCGCGTTCTGCATGGTGACGGGCATCGTGGCCGCGCTCGAAGCTGTTCCAAATCCGAGAAAAAGCGCCGGGCTGAAAGCCCTGCAAATAAAGGTGGGTAAAGCTGGTCAGATCCGGTTCTTGGTACGTCTGGTTTGGTTGACTTTTCCAATTAGACGGAGATTTTGCTATCACGTACCATTTTCTGAGAGGTTTGAATTGGCCGGAACTGAGTTGATGTGCAAGTAGAAGTAATCACTTGTTGCGTGGCTGCAGCAAAAAACACTGTACAGACTGAGCAGGTAACGCAATGGAAAGAAGCAGGGTTTAGCGCAACCAAAGAGCAGCGTTTTCCGATCTATGCTTTGCATCGCTCAAAATAGACGAACAAAAAGAAGTTCCAAGTGCATTCGGAACAAGGTCGGAACTACAAGCTTTCTCCTATTCCGACCAAAAGTCTTTCGAATGGAAGCTCAGTGGGCGACACATCCGGGGAGAAGCGTTCCTGATCACCTGAGGACTGATGACAAAAAGATGCTCACATATAAGCAGGGACCGAAACCAAATTGCCTGATGTGAGAGGTGACTGGCTCTGGCGCAGCAACAGCAGGAAGCAAGCCAATGAGAAAAGGGCTTCCACGACCGTTTGGAGACTCTACTGGAGGTGCTTTAAGGTGATGCAACTAAGACTTACTTGAAGACTCTGATGGGATTGATCCCAGAGAAGCCTATGCAGGTCAGCGGCAGGAGTACAAACATGTGAATCCCAAACCCTGCGGAACAACATGCGCGTTGATGTTGGAATTCAAGGCATGAATTGAAAGAAGCACATGCATGACTGGACGAAAGTGAGGTGTAGAAACGAAGTATTTCTGAAAGCTGAACGGACGCTGATCTCCTCGAGCATTCAAATGAGCAGATTCTCAGCTCCTGCAAAGCGCTGCCTTATTGACTTCATTTGTGGGTTTGCCGTACTACCCTGCTGCGTACTGCTCCATCGAAGAGGAAATGATCTGGAAAGGCAGTACAAGCTTGTACAGCATACCAAGATTTCCACCCAATGGTTCTTACCTGACAAGACCGTCGCGACGTACTTGGCCAGGGCCTTGAGAACGGCCGTGATGTTGCACGCCTTGAGGATGAAGCCCGCGACCAATGAGCCCACGCCAATTGGCGTCAGCCAGATGATGAGCGTGATCATACCCATAATCGTGTCGTTTGCTAGCTCGATCACCTTGATCAGGGGCTCGGCCATTGGACCTGTAGCACGCGCATGTTTGTACAAAAAGTTGGAATCGGTTACGCGCACAAGAAGCTGAGAAGCTTGAACCAACCAAATGGGAAAACTGCATGTTGAGACGATCAAAGTTGGTTCAGGCAATCTGTGCTTGTCTCGAATCCAATCAGATCGGTAATCGGACTGGCTTCTTGTCGAACGAGATCCGGCGAGATGTCAGTAAACGCGGCAAGAGACCAGATGAAGTACAGTCCAGTCCAACCCTGTCGCTTACGATGATACCAACATGTAAGAACAAGGGTTCGCTTTGTAACAATGTGCTTTCAGATGTGCCATACAACCTTGAACGCCTGTGGAAATGCATTCGAGTCCTAGAGGCACGCTTCGAGCCTTTCTTACTGTGAAACGGACGCTTCTGATTCCCGCTTACTGAGGTAAGACGAGGCGTCATAGATCGTACAAGTCGGAAGAAAAGAAGTTTGCCAGCTATAGGTAAGCCTGGCGGCGTGCTAAGCCGTCAGTGGTATACCTCTTACCCAAGGTAATGAGGATAGCCCCAAAGAAGATGGAGAACACCATGACTCCTGCAACACATTCGTGAGCTTCTGTCAGGAGAAAAGTATATATCTTCCAGCTTTGAGGGATGAAATTGCTCTCTTTGAGACGTATAGAACGCTTTGCTGATTCGGATTGCCGACTTCGTGCAATCAGCAAGGTACGCCGCTTGAAAACGGAGGGGCCGAATGGTTTTCGAAAAAGTTTCTTCTTTTTGGCTCAAGCTTTGAGACCTTGTCGATCGTGACTAGCTACTGAAAAGAGACGCACGTCAGAGATCTCCGAAGTTTGTTCAGGTCTGGTGCACACAGGCTGCTTTGCAAAGCCGCGCTGTCCGACATTGATTTGCAAGATGGGGTTTCCAGAAGGAGCTCAGGCTTTGCAAACCACATCATTTGCAATCTTCCTGAGATCGGGGCTTCGAGTGCCCTACGGCAGCTAGAGCTGTATTGAATGCTGATCACTTACCAAGATAGTTGTTCTGATAAGCTGCCACAACCTGAATCCAAGAAGAAGGAAGAACTAAAGCGTCTGCTCAAGCAGATGTTCTGACGGAGTTTCAGGTCAGCAAGAGGAATGACGTGCAGAACTGGATTGAACGGAAGAGAAGGTAGGAATTGAACGGAAGAGAAGGTGGCTGCCAAATGCCTTCAAAGAAGGACGGTGTGCTTGCCAAAGAGACCAAAAGCGTTACGAGGACGTGCCAGTGCAATGATTGGATTGTGTCCAGAAGCTTACGATGTTGCTGGGGACCATGCTCCTCCCAAGGCCCAGTAGCGACGCCACGGCATCACCAGCAGAGTTTCCCCTGGAGAAAATCATAGGTGAGAATCATGAGCTTGCTTCATCATGTCCAAATAGTCTTGTAGCTTGAGTCAAGGAAGCAGGGGCAGTAGGAAAGGGGCCAAGATCACATGTTCTGGTTTAGTCAATCGTGCTAGGTTTATGGGTCAGCAGCATGCCCTTTTGAGATATAAGGACATTGACAATTACAAGCTGGAAAGACGGTGGTATCGATGTCTTCATTGTATGCTGGACCTGGAACCCCTCGGTTCAATTGAAGCAAAGCTTGACAAGAAGTGAAAGTCAAGCTATCTGTAGCTTTGTTTGCCGAGGTAATCCGACTCAGAACTTCTGCAGCATTTTTCTGTCGATTGGTGCTGATCATGATCATCCGCTCCAGAAGCAAAGCCTGACCAGAAATGAAGAGAAGATTCTGCTAAGAGTACGTATACAGAAAGATTTGCTGAGAACTCACACTGAGTTAGTAACTGTAGAGTTTCTGGCCTTGCCACACTGAGTCAAATCCCCGTTGCCAAAAGGTTCGTTGGCTCCAGGCTGGATTGCATAGACGAGCCCGATACCTGTTGAGGGAGAGCAGATGCGGGTCAACTCTCGTACAGGACGAAGGAACCATAAAGAACTTCAGCGCATTCAGCACAATGAGTCTGATTATCAAAGGGTTTGTTTTTACTCACAGAATGACAACATTCGAAAAAGCGCCTACTTGAAGGAGCGTACCACATAAGTCTGCCACGGTTGTCGAGCCTCTAAGTGAACAAAGAAGAAACGACTGCATGCAGGCGACAGGGAAAGGATTCTGCTGTAGTCTATTCCTCGATGAAAGTTGCAACAGCAGGTCCCCCCACTGAGGCTTCAGGTACTCCAGGGATCCCGCGAGAGCATAGCCATCTTCAATATGAGGCAAAGGAAGAAACAGGGAAGAGACGAGAGGCTTACCAAGGCTAACTGCGAGAAACATGGACGTGAAATAGTACATCATTGACCACGTGGCAATGTTTGCAGCCCTGCAAGGATGCGGGAAGATGAGATGAATCAATGGAAACTGACAGGAGAAGCTCGGATGGGATATCTGCAACTCTTCCGCTGGTCTAAGGGAGGTCTACAGTTCCTTGAGCAGGATTCGGTCAAAAGAGTCATTCACCTAAATCTTTGATCCAGCCTCAAAATCTCTTTCGTATTAGTGCTGGGTTGAGCTGCTTCCGTGCATGGATGTCAAGTACTGACTTCTCAGCATCACAGGGGCCCTCACCCGCTTGTTGTGTGCCGCAGGCTCATCACACCACACATCAGCGCCAAGGCTACCAGAGGAAGCACAAGCTCCGACAGCCCGTTCAGAAACAGTTCTCCCGGGTACCCTGAGGAAATGGAAAGAGAAGCATGCCGTGAGATGCCAGAGTGCGGAAACACGTAAAGTGAGAGGGCTTATGACGTCTCTCTATATGTGTTGCTTTGGTTATACTTTGGTTGAGCTCGCTGAATCAGATAAAGCTAGCATAGGCAAGGTACCGCTCTGGTTTCTTTCAATCAGGCCTCGGAGATCACTCTTCCAAAGTTTTGTAGGCTAATTCATGGCCTGGGGCAGATTTTGCAGTTGGGCAGCTTCATGAAGTTTGCAGACAGAAAGGCACTCAGGTCCTTATCACAAACTACTCACTGTCAATCATCCAATTGTAGTATGTCAGCGCAGATTCAATTTTACTGCAGCAACACAAATTGGAGTGGCTAATAAGAAAGCCACTGGAAAAAGGACTCCAAGTGAATTCCCTCGAGAGGGGGGCAGCAATTGGATATTCTGGAAAGGCAAGTCTTAGACATATCACAATCAAACCCAGACTGTTTCTCACCAATCAGTTCAATCGCCCTTGGGCTTGGCTTGGAGGTGTACAGCCCGGCTCCAATGGCAATCCCACCGGAGACCCCAGCGATGGTGAAGAAGATGAGGTTCTCCTTGCGACCCAGCTTCTTCTTAAACGCCATCCACTTCTTTGTCCTGGGCCCATATCTGCGGCGCTTTCCCGTGAGGTCCAGCCGCTCCACCGCATTCTTGGCGTTGGTCGTGTCAAAAACTGGGGGGGAATGAGGCAACTTCTGGCCAGTGATTGAAAGGCATACTGAAACCCTCAGGCATCACAACATGAGCTTAGGATACAAGCGGTAAGATAGACTTTTTGCTTGGCCACATTCTACAGCTCTATCCAATTTCCAAAGGAGCTGGGCAACCCGCTGGTGGTGGAATCCAGTACCACAAGTAGAGCTGGGATATTTTGAAAATTTCCTGATCTCTTGAAATTGACGTAGACTCTAAAGTTTCTCGGGATCTTCACAAGCTGCTCCAAGAGCCTTGTGCGTAATACCTTTCGATCTCATCATGGGAGGACTTAACCAAACCATTTGTTGAAGTACAATTCGTCAATAAGCAATCCTTTACGCGTGCGCTGCACCTCCAATTGCAAAATCATTGCCATGAAAGAGCAAGCATCAACTTTCCAACGAGAGGGCAGCAGAAACAATTCTAGTTTTTCCAAGATCCCCACAGCAGGACAGAAGAAATTACTAGTGCAGTCTAAGACAGGGCTGCCTTCAAGGTATGTTTCTTACCTGGAAAATCGTGTTTCTCCGGCCCCAGTGGCGCCATATTCCTGGGCCAAAAGTACAGATACGCTAGCCTGGCGCGGCTCGAAAAAGCTCACCAGCCCTTGGCTAGCTCAGGCGACCGATGGATGCTGTGCAACAGCCGATTGTGAATGATCTAATGCAAAAATTTGAAGACGACGTTTTTTTTGTCACTGCTAGCAATGAGACCTTGGATTGAATTCTGAATGGGAATCTAGTCCGATGAGCTGGGAGTACTGGCTCTCACCGTTTGCTTGCTGAGCTATAATCTGGGATTTTGGGGCAGAACTACTAAGTACAGCTGGTTGTTACGTAACCAGCTAGAAGACTACTGCGCAATCCTGAGCTCCTTGATGGTGGTGTTCAGTTGTTGCCAGCAACTGTATTTAAGCGTCCCTGCTGCCCCGCCGTCCAATGCTGCAGTTCCATGTCGACGTTATGCATGCCTACGGTATCCTAGCACTGACGATCAAGCATCAGCAGCCGCTACGTCACCCTCTATTGTTTGGCTGTAGCATGTACGGTAGGTAGTCAAAGCGTACCCATAAATTCGAGCTCCTTGTGAATCGCAGTGGAACAGATTTTGTATATTTCTTACCCCTGCAACTACCAGTACATCAAAGCTTTGTAGGATCAGAAGCATGGCCGGATCATGCCTGAGCTTGCACCCGCACGGGCAGGCTGCTGGCTGAGCCCAAAACGGCGGCAGCAGCTCAGCCCGAGTACTATTCTGATATACCTATACCTACCTACTATCCGTTTAGGTACATATGCTAGATAGGTGATAAACGGTTACCGTGATATCTGAAGCGCCCCGCCTCAACCTTTCCGACGCCGCGTCCCGCTTGCCAAGAATGTCTGACGAGACCCGGAACCAATCAGATTGCCCCATTCAAGGTCCTGACGTCTTGTTACGTAGTTGCTCCTCTCATTTGCTCCGTTCTGTCGACATCCCGTACTGGGTCAATTTATTGGATCATGATGCACTCCTTTATATGTCGACATCCAGCATGTGGCACGCGTCAAGAGGAGCAGTAATTGGTCGCCTTGCCATGCGTCTCATGTGTTCCACGTGGTATGAGCTGTCGGCTGAATACGCGGGCCTCGGTAGTCGCTAGGTACCAGTCGGACTTCTCTGTGCGCGTCCCAAGCCGCGGGGCCGCGGCCAACCGTTCAAGTTTCAAGTTGCCTGCGGGCCTGGGCCCGCTTCGAGTCCGGGCCGCCCGGGGGCGGCAGGCTGGCCGCCAGAACGGCACTAACGCTTACGTCAGGCTAGCGTGCGGGCTTGACGTCAATGAAAACTTTTAGGGCTATGGAATATAGCACCCCAGTCGCAGATGCTTCTTATATTACCTCCTCCGGCTTACCTCACGTACGGAAAGACGATCATCAGCATATAGCCATGTAAGGCAGTCACTGACTTGCAACTAGCATCCCCCTACTAGTTGAACTGAAGTACTGACCGGATTGATAATGACGGGATGCCTCCCACATGCCTCCGTGCAACCAGCGCCAGACCGGGGCCAGACCATTACGGACACAGTTCGGATCAACCACTCAACCAAATGCTGATTGCTCGTGGGCTCGTTTGAGTTCTCTAGGAAGAGCCGCTCTTTTTTGGCATAGACCACAGTAGATGCACTGACCTCACGCTTAATGCATGATTCTGGAACCCCAAGCTTGCTGCAGTCTCTCGGCCTTCTGCCGTACGTCGTTCACAATGCAACCCAAGCGATTGCACCGAATTTACTGAGGCAAAAATGTGCGTCCGAACCGTACCCGGCCGCATGACTTCAGGATGCAGCGCCGAGTCGACTCTACTCAAGTATTTCCACTATTAATATTGTTTCGAGACGTTATGCGGCAGACTTGGGCTTATATTGCAAAATGTACCACCGGACTTCGATCCAGCATGGTACTACAGTCCGATGGGCCGATATCTTTGTATGGAACTGTATTGCGAGAAGCAGCACATATCCGAACTTCGGAAGAGTGAAAATGGCAGAAGTCGGATGGGAAGTCAAATTGAACGGCTCAACGTAGAGAACAAACGCTCAGAACATAAAGGCGGTGGGATCTCAAACGAACGGTTGCCGGGAGCAGCTTGAGCTGGATCCAAGGCGAATGGTTTTGAGGATTTAACAACGCGTGACCCGTAAGGAGGAACGCTTGCAACTCTCGAAAGTTCCCAGCATTGCGAGACCAAGTTTAAGAGTGAAGAAACGCGGTGATAACCAGATAACATACGGGCCGAGGATTGAACAGCTCTTCTAGAAGGTCTTCAGAATCTGCGACTATCCGTGTGTTACAGATATCAAATGTGGATTCTCGACTGAGTGCAGCTACTTCGAAGGGCACACAAAAGCTGACACTGACGCTTGAGTAAGAACTTTGCTTGATATCTGATCGGCAAGTGGTTTATATGTACTGCGGCCACCAATTCAATCCCTCAATCTCTGCATATCATTGTTCACATTGTACGTATGATGTCCGACAGCAATCGAGGAATCAAGTGATTATTGCAATGGGCCGCCAGCCATTATTGTTTGCGTTCTTCCTGGAGCCGGCGGCCATTGTTAAGTGACACAACCTATCATATCACGAGGTTCTATGCGCAAGTACATGATTGTCGCGGATCGACGCCATTCATGGACATGTACACATGTTTGGTTCTGTTTAATCCTTGCTTTAGTCTTCTTCGTTCACAACTGTCCGAATGATCGATCGATCGGTCATGCATGTCCAACCAGAGAGACACCGGCTTGTACTGAGATGGGAGGAATCTCAGACGGATCTCGGACGAGAGAAGCGCCAAACGTGCTTTGTCTCTCGACTCAAAGCCGTTTGCATGGTCACTTCATTTGTCGTGTCAATAAGAACGATTATAAGTAACTTGGAAAACTTACGGGCCTTAATCAAGCATGCGCTGCGCATGCCGCGGCGCCCAACTCGATCACTGGCACTGTTGCACAACAATATCATTAATTGGAATGACTTCAAAGCATGCATTTCGACGATGACGTTGGTTAGTGTTAAGGTCAGTGGGACACATGCATTCACGTGGGGTGAAACACTCTTGCTTGCAAGTACACTGCCATGATCGCTGGGCCACTCATTGCTAAAATAACACAAATTTGAGCTTGTCCAATGCAAAGCAATCCACGGAAGTACAAGGTCCTGTAATATTGCTGTCACTAAATTCGACCAAGATCACTATCGAAACCGCAAGCAGTGACCGAAGCAAACGCCCTACAAAACCTGCTACGAAAAACAAATCTTTGCTTGTATCGAGGAAAGTCAAAGCTCAACGTAGATAAGGCGAGGTACCTTATATCTCAAAAGCTCGCAGCCTGCTTTGCGCAAGCCAAACAAAGTTAGTCCTAGATCTGCATAATCATGACTAAGCAACTAAAACCCAAGACGAGCTTATTGGTGCCCCTACAGAAACTGCATCGTCAAATCTGCACTCTGGTCGCACCTGCGGAAACAGAGAGACCATATTCAGATCTGCTTGATCCATAATCCAGAGCAATACTTGCACTACTGAGATTCACGAGATGGAGACAGCTGGCACGAGTTCGTAGGTGAAAGAAACGCCGAGGAGGAGAGTAAAATGCCGTGAGGAAAACCGCACACATGTCTCCAGACGCGTGCTACGCTTTGTGTGCCGCGCTTGAAGGTCGAAAACGTCCACCGGCAACAACGAAACTACGCTATCAAGGTTTGACCTAATTGCTCATCAACTTTCATCTCAAACTAATCAGAGCATCTGAGCCGTAACGAGGAGAGACGTGAACGAGACACTTCTATGACATCTCGTTTCCTTTCTGACAAGTGTGGGGAGGCCTTCGTAGACTAAATCAACTATGAAGATTCAACCTGCAACCGGCCACTGAAAACCGGCCTGCTGGGGGTAAAAGCTCCGACTTACCGTACGGGGTCCAACCATATGAGCTTGTAGACGATCCGCCGGAGCCTTCCGGTAGACCACCTCCGCACACCCCATGCCGCATACATCTGGAGCCGTTCGGCCTGTAAAGTAGTTCCAATCGACGGTCAGAAAGCACGTTCTTTTTCAGTCCATCTAGACAGATAAGCTCTGATGACGGTCGGTGGAAGGAGTATTTTTCAATCCGCGCACTATTTGGAAAACCGATCGTTCACAGCATTTGCACGAAGATCCGTTTGACCAAAGAAAGCGCCTTCCGGTTCTCTGCACTCTTCAGTCGGGCTTGACCTTGATCTTGCGCTCGTTGGACCACTCGAATCCACCGTTTCATGTACAACACGAGTAAAGATCTGAAAAACTCTATAAAGAATCATCTGCAACATACTATATTACACAGCGCCAGTCACTACATAACTCAATCAGATTGCAACCTGACCCGCCGCTTGGAAGTGAAACTCAATTTCATGCCCTTGCCAGTGAACCTTGCGGAATGGGCCCCTCGCCTGATCAATAGAAGGCGAAAACATACAGCTTGATCCACAGACTTGTTTGCGTGGTTAGAAGGCTAACCCGCTTGGGTCAACACTCACAGATACTTGAATGAAGCCTGTCTTGTTAGCTGGTTATGCGGCTATCCCACCTGGGTCAGCTGGAAGGACAGCCCCGCATGAATGCAGTCCCTTTGCCGCAACACCAGATCCGCCGCCTGCTGTTCCTCCCGCGAACTGCGCTCCAGAGTCGCGACCTCGTCTAGTTCCTTCATCACGCTCGGGGGACCCCATGTCGGGGACACGTAGTAGACCATGCGCACCTGAAAGGAAGACGAAAGAGAACAGGATTCAATAACGTCCAAACGTAAGAGTTCAAGGTTCCAAAACTGTTTTCTCCCAAACGTTTTTGAAGTTTCTGAAGAAACGGTCGCCCATATCTGGAGAAGAACCAACCGGCCGTTGTAAGAAAGGCTTCTCTTCTTTTTAAGAGCTTCTCTTCTAACGAGGAATACAAAGGAGGAACGGCTGCAAAAGCGGCAGGCACGATAAAGATGGAATTCCTACCAACAGGACCAAGCTGAAAAGGCCATCCCGAGGAATCAGGGCGCATTTGATCATTCAGCAAGCTTGGCAGAACCATCTGGCGTTTGATTCCCAATAAGACGAGGCCTGCAGTTCAATCCCAACTGTGCATCAGTGTGTCTGACTCACCTCAGCCCCGAGTGACGTCAGCTCCCGCACAATGCCCCGGTACTTGTGGGCCCGCACTCGTAGATCGACGCTGCGCTCCTCCCACAGTTGGCACAGCTTGGCAAGGGTGGGCATCAGAGCCACTGCGGAAAGGCAAAGCAAAGTTTAGCATCCGGAATAGAGAGGGTGGCTGGGAAAAGAAGCGAGGGCCTGATCCAAATATGCCGCCTCTGCCACAGTTGGCATCGCGTTGCAAAAGTGGGCATCAGAGCCTCTGCGGATAGGCAAAGTGATGATTTTGCTGAAGTAGATTAGCGGACTTTTCGCTTGATATTTTAGATTTGAAGCACGCGTTTGTAGCGCTCACAGTTGCAGATGGTACAAGGACAGGGTCGAAATGGAACAGCGAAACTGAAATGCTGCTTCGGAAAGGCTTGACAAGAGTGCTCATGAGAGCTCCAAAGCATTGACACCCGATCCGAAACGATTTCGAAAGCACACGCTGCGAAGCATCGCAGAAATCTGAATCAGGATCAGTGAATCGAAGGATTTGCTTACATGTCGCTACAGGACTCTTCTCTGCGGACTCCACACTGCCCCCGTTCGCGGGAGACGGACTCCAATACGGAGTCAGAGCTTCGAACTTCGCTTCCAAACCCCTTACTCGTGCACCCTCCCCCCCCGAGCTGGGAACTCCTCCCGCGCCCTGCAGTTCACCCGAAGACAGATTCCCCGACCGCCGCCTCCCGCCAATCGAGAAGCTCTGGAGCGCCGCGCTGAGGTCATCCAACGAGTTGCTGACTTCACTCAGCGAGCCGCTCGTGCTGGGGGGCGTTCTCGCAGCCAGGAGTCGCCGCGGTGTGAACGGGCTCCCCACGGAGCTGAGGTCAGAGCAGGTTTCCGGGCTAGGGGGCGCCCGCAGGGGCGAATCCTCCCCCCCGGCGGGCCGCGCCTCCCCCAATCGACCATCGCTAAGCTCCCGTCGGTTTCGTTCCTCTTTGGCCCCAGGACTAAGGCCCGCTCTAGCTTTCATATTCAGGACTTGCGCATCCTGTGACTCCCGGTGATAAGCTATCGGAAGCGCTGTCCTCTCCCGTCTTCCGAAAGCACCCTCGTTATTCTTCCCCGCTCCGGCAGCACCCCTCGTCTCGAAAGCGGGGTTGAAGTTCCTCTGGGAGTGCGCAGCAATCCCGTCAGAAGCACGGCCTGCGGCAACAGCTGTCGCCTCAGGGGGTGAGTTACTCGACGGGTTTGCTGACGGGTTTGGGAACGGGTTAGCTGAACCTCCCCGGCTTGAGAAGAGCCCAAAGGGACTCTGGATCGGTTCGCGGACTCCCTTCCTGCTCCACAACCGAAAGTGCGGCTTCGGAGTGGGCTGACGTGGGCTTTCCTGTGCGGTGACGTCAGCATCGACGTGGCGCTGTCGGGGGGATGGAGGGAGGTGGCTCGGGCGTGGGGGTTTGAGGCCAGGGGTTTTGACGGCCGGGGCTTTCGGGGCGGGTTGGTAATACTGGCTGTCGAGGCTCTGGCTTCGGAAGTGGAGCGGGTTAACCGGTGGTTTCGGGGAGGTTTTGCCTGACCGCGGCAAGTTAGGCCGGCCGGGAGGTCCCAAGCTTGTTGGGGAGTCGCAGGAACTTTTAGAGGGGCTGCTCAGCAAGTCCCGCTCGGCACTTGTCGTAGATGAATTTGGGGAACCTCTAGAGGGTTTCGGGGAGTCGGGGGAACCCCTAGAGTTATAGGTGTGGTTAGGGGCCAGGCTGGGACGTCGAGCCAGGTTCCGGTCGGGGGAACCTCTAAAGAATCCCAACTTGGCTGGGACACTGGCTGGAGAGGTGCCACCTGTAGAGGGGCTGCTGGAAACCTCTTGGGATGCGGGGGCGAGGGACGGCGTACTGGGGCTTCGGCTGACAGGTGGCAGCTCCTGAGTGGACCAGGATTGGCTGAAGCTGCGGCCGCGGTTGCGAAGCGCCCGTGCCCTGGAAAACAATGCAAAGCGGAGTGTGTTACGAACATGAAGCAGGCAGAAGAGACTTGAGAAACAAAGCAGGAAGGTTGGAGACATGCATGAGTTGCTACCTCGGATCCGCTTCGTTAGATAGTGACAGCTCCGCAGTATCTTCGCTGCACTTATATCTGGCTCTTTCCCTGAAAATGAGGGACGTTGAAAGCTCGTGGTTTCCCTTCAGAACAAAAGACAGCGAGCCAAGACGGACAGGCCAAGCAACGTCAACTTCACTCGGGCTTTGAAATTTTGGAGACGAAAGTTAACGAGTGCTAACAATTCCGGGACTTTCCACTTGGACTAGTTATGCTTCGTGTTTCTTAGGGTGATACGGCCATTCACTGGGGCAAACTGAATTGATCCCCTGACCGGTTTCTAATGTGTACTTTCATGAAACCCAAATCCATCTCAACCAGCTTCCGATCTAACTTCGTGAGAATTTGGCTGGTAGGTTTGTATGGAGACGGGGCGAAATCTTTCCGAGTTGAACGAGGCATGCAGATCAGGACACAGCGGAAGGTGTAACCTCGGGCTGTCCTGGAAGCCCGCAAAGCTGCCCTCCTCCCACAGCAATAAAGTAAAAGCCCTTTGCATCTCTAATGTATCCTCGTCAACTTTGAAACTGTTTAACCCAACTCGTGGGGTTACTTACAACTAGAACGAGACGAGAGGGCTTACCTTGGGCTGTCCTGGAAGCCCACAAAGCTGCCCTCCTCCCACAGGCGGCACACGAGGCAGTCGTGCCCGTCCTGCCTGTGAGGCGAATGCGCATACGCCGTCCTCGGCTGCGGGGCGGAGTGCAGCCTCTCGAGCTGGGGGGCGGCGAAGCTGTCAAAAGTAGCCCCCCTTTCCGGAGACTTCGGCAAAGCGGGGCTGACGTCTGGGCTCTCACAGCGCTCCGGCTCTAAGGGCAGCTCGATGCTCAGGCGGCCGGTCGGGGAAGGGTTTGATGGGGTTAGCGGGAACCCGGAGTCTTGGGCTAGCCGGGTTTCGGAAGTCGGCTTCGACGGTGGGCTCGAGACTGGGTCGAGCGAACCGGAGTCCGTAACCAGGTTCGGGGAGAGGGAGCACGGACTGCCGAGGCCACTACGCAGGGGCAGGGTTAGCTTCCTGACCACTTGGGGCTTCGAAGCAATTGATTCTGCGGCCGTGGAAGGTGAGAAGCGGGGGTGATCCAGATGGTTAGGGGCCGGATCAGCGTTCAGAGGATCGTCTAACCCCTTTAGTGCCGACTCCGACTTGCTCCTTCCCAGGAAACTGCCGACGTGGTGCGGGGTGCAGACCTTTTGAAGCTCGACGGGGCTTCTGGCCCCCTCTAATTCTTCACCGGCACGACACTCGGTGCACGTTTGGGTGCTCATGGCGGGTTGGTGCTTCTCATGGCTCTGCATAAACCCAGGGCTCGGAGGCTTCTCATGATTCTGGGGCTTCTCAAACCAGTGATCCCTCCCGAAGTGTTGAATCGTCAACACGTCCTGGCCTCTTCCGGCGCCTTGGCCTTTCTCGCCAGACTCGTTCTCCACCAGCCATTGCTTCAGCAACCCCAGACCCAGCCGCATCTGCGCCCACTCCGTGCTCCCCAGCATCAGTGCCTTGCCCCCATTCACACCCAGCTGCCCCGGGGCCCCCCTCCCCGGTGTGAGCTGCCCCTTCTGCAGGCTGTTCAGCTTCTCCACCTCCGCTCGGACCAGCCCCAGCGACTTGTCCGGCGACGGATAGTCCGAAACTTTGACCTCCCCGAGGGAGCTGTCCTGGTCCACGAAGCTCCGGTGGCTCGGGCTATTGGTCCAGCTGTCATCGGGAAAGCCGTCGGCCCACTCGGAAGATGCCCCCACCCTGGCGAAGTCGTACTGTGCAAGGCTCCAAGGGGGATCCCCGGGGGCGGCTATCGACACCCGCAGATCCTCCTCGCTCAGAGGGACATTGGCCGCTGCGTCGTTCCAGGACGCGACCTTGCTGGCGGAGTCAAGCAACGCCGTCTCCGCGAGAATCAGCGCCGGACTCCCGACGGGCGTCCGGTAAGGGTCCGGCTTGTGCAGCGCGAACACGCTGGCGTCGGACTCGGTGAGGGCGTAGTGCTCCGGCGTGCAGTCGCCGGACGAGGGCACTTCCGGAGCGCCAAAGATCCGGACGTCCGCCACGCAGTTGGGGGTAAGTCCGTCCGAAACGTCGCTGCCAGTGCAGGCCTCCGGCTGGGCTTTGCTGACATCGCCCAATCCCGTGCTAAGCACGCTAAGTGGCGACACTTCGGGCGCCGAAGCTTCCTCAACCGTCTTCTGCACCCGCTCAAGAGTGAGTCCGTCTTTCTCTTGGGCCAGCTTTCTTCGCTTTCCCCCTTCTGCAGGCTCGGTTTCCCGGCACTCCCTCACCGCAGCTTCCGCTAGGAACAATTCCCCCTCGCACCTATCGCCAGCTGTCACCACCATGTCAAGCGGCTTCCGGTCCCTCCAGCTGGCGACCTCCTCCTTTTTCAGAGCCCTTAGTGCAGCCCGGTGCACTGCGAGAAGGTCGCCCGCGTCGGGGCTCCCTCTCTTTGCTCCCGCTTTTCGAGGCAGGCTTTTCTCCGGCCCCCCTTGCACCATTCTATCATGCTCACCGCCTCCCCTGACTTCCCCTTCTGAAAGAGTCTCGCTATTCGTCTGCAACCCAACCGCGGCTTCTTCCTTTCCGTCCTCTTCATGCCCCGACTCCGTCGCCAACCGGGTTCTCGTCACAAACTCCGCGCCTGGAACCGCAACAGCTGGCGCATGCTCCATGACAGCTGGCATGGACTCGTTGACAGCTGGCACAGGCTCCATGGCAGCTGGCATGGACTTCTTGACAGCTGGCACAGGCTCCATGACAGCTGGCACGTGCTTCGCAATGAGGCCCGCCAGTTGTGTCAGCAGCACCGACTCCTTGCGCGGCGTGAGCGGCCCCTCGATCACAGACGCGGGGGACTGCGCTCCTGTCTCATCGACTTCCTCTTCCCGCTCTGGTTCTCGCCCATCATCAACGCCAACGTTCAACCCCTTTCGATCCACCCCGGAGTTCTGATTCTCCTCAATCATCTCCCCAATCGGACCAACCACGCTCGTGCCAGCTGTCGCGCCCTGAGCCACTGATTCTCTCTCAGACAGACCGCTGCCTGCCGCAAGCTCCTCGCTCCCGCTATGCTCTTCATCGAACAGTTGCCCCTGCCCATTCCCACCCGTACTGTACAAATTCAGGCTCCCAAACGATGGCAGAAGATCTGCCAGCTGCAGATACAGCGCCTCTTCTCCCCGAGGAGACATTGGCGGCGTTGCCGACCACCCCCCGTCCAGGTCGTCACCGACCCCATCCGGATATAACGCTGCGGAAAGCGTCTCCGTTCGGACTTCGATCACCCGGAAGGTCGGAGAGGGTTCCTCGCCGTCCGAGTCCCAACTCTCTCCTAAATGCACACCCACCCCCCCGCTGCACTCGATCATGGGGTGGGTCTGACAAAGACCCCCCCGGTCATCGACCGTGTGCGGCATCTGCAGCTCTGCCAGCTGGCGGTAGAGCTCTTCTTCTCGGCCGGGTGACAAGGGAGGGGTACTTCCCGGACTCCGCACAAAAAGCTTCTGCGCACTCCAAACCCTGCCCGAGACTCCCGCTGCCGTTTTCCCTTCCGCCTTTTCATCCTCCAGCGTGACTAACGCTGTTCCGGAGCTTGGCAGGTCGGAGACCACCGTATCCTGCCCGCCCTTCCCCTCCGCTTTCACCGCCCCTCCTGACACAGCGTCCAACTCCGCTGTGCCATTTCCCAAACTGCATCCTACTGATTCACAGTCCCGTTCATCTGGCACTTCCGACCGCAGCTCAGACGTCTCCAACGCGCTCAGCAAAGACTCCCCCCGAACCGACACAACCCGCCCCTCCGACTCGCCATTCGAGCCCCCCCGTGACACGCCCACTGCATCACCCCCCGACGCGCCACCAAAACCCGCCCGCACTCTGTGTCCCCGCCACACCCGCTGAACCTCCACCACCGCCTTTCTCATACACAGAAAACGAATCCGCTCCTGCACTGCTTGCAGGAGCATCGACTGCCGCTCCCGCTTTGCGCGCCACCGAGTCTGGATAGTTAGCGTTGCGTGGCGGAGGGCGATAAACGCCACGCGCACGGGTCGGCCGTGCTGCCAGGCGCGGACGAGCTTCTGGAGGCGGATGGCAGTTGACCGCAGCTTCACGAAGTTGCGGCGGGGGCAATAACTTTGGAACGCCCTCTGTATCCACAAGCAAAATTGCTCGTTAGCAATGGTGTTAAATCTTCATCTGCTCGGTTTGTCGTGTCTTTTTTTCCGGGGAGAGGTCTGACAAGCCTTTGAGAACCTCAATGCGGCGCACACTTACTACGCATTCTTGGAATCGACACAAGGGCGTTTGCGCTCGAAGAATCACAAGTGAATATGGACAAGTCAAGTCTAGCTGCGACTTTTTTGCCTGGCTCGCACTTGAACACGCTAAAACCGTATTCACAAACCGCATTTCAGCCAGCAGCGGTCTCCACCACCGTCAAATTGCCAGACTAAAGTTAATAGATCAAACGCAGTGATAGCATCTCAAATCCTGCGACTTGAAAGACCTCCACTCTCTTACCTGGATCATGACTGCTGCCACTTTCTTCTGCGACCGCCGGATTGCTGTCTGGAGGTACGCCACCGCAAAGGTCTTGTCAGGCGAAAGCGACCCCGCCGAGCTGACAGGCGACGCAGCGTCGGGATCTGAGAGCTCGCTGTCGGACTCGGAGTCGCTTTGGTCCGGATCCCGATACTGGAAGTCCTCCACCTCTTCCTGGTGCGCCACCTGGCAGAAACATGAAGTGAAGCTGGTTACTAAAGATCCTTTTGAGGCTTTCGGGTCTCCACCCTCGAGACCCGCTTTTAAGTACGGACCAAGAGAAGCGTCTCAAACTCCTCCTTGCAGGCAAGCTGGTGCGCTTCAATGGGCAGACTCTTTCGATGCTGAGAGACGAGTCAGAGATTGCTGCTAGAAGGTGACAGTGTTCATGGGAGACAAGGCGAGAGTCGCAGCTTGAATCATGCATCAAAGGCCTGGCAAGAAAGCTATATCAGCAATCATACAGGTCAATATTTCGAACCGACTTGAAGTATTGCGGAGTTGTAGCACCTCAGGAGACCAGCAACGATCGGCGAGCCTTAACTATTTCAACCCTGGTGTTGACGCATTCAGCAAACCTCGGCAGTGCCCAATCAATAATACAAGGCACACCAGCTTACCTCCGGTGTCCGCATCTGTTGCGATGCCGACTTTTCCCCTTTGACCGTACCCCGTTCTGCCTGCACGTTCCCTGAGCTTCGAAACGGGTTCCGTTTCCGTTTCGGGGGGGACAACCGAGCCCGCGGCGAGACCTTGAAGCCTAACTTCAGTGCCCCCCGCTTGCGATCAACTTGCTGAACGATCTCGCTCAGCAGCGCCTCCGCTTCCAAGGCCTCTTTCTCAGACAGGGCCGCCAGGTCCTCCTGGGAGTGCGTTCGCACCCGCCTTAGCTGGAAGCTTTCAGAGGGGTGTGAATCGGCACCGGGGCTCTCGGGGTTGTCTGAACCAAGGGACGCTTCGCTGTGTGCCGGGCTCGGCCGCTGACTGATACTGTCCCCGGGTTTGATAAGCAGGTCGTTCTCAGGAGAACCGTGCCGGGTATTGGGGGTTCCTGGAGTGGTCGTGCCGGCGGCGTTTTGGGGTTTGGTCTTAGGGGTTAGAAGCGGGGTTGTAGAGAACCCGCCGTCCTGGGAGGCGAAGGTGGAGCTGGCTTGGCTGAAATGGTCGTAGGTGGTGGTGCTTGAGAAAGAGGACCGCCTGCATATAAGATGCGAAAATGTTGGTCAGCATGATGTGCACGGCCTTCGCAGGACAAGCGTTGGACCATCAGAGGGTTAAGTACCTTCTAACGTCTGTACTTAACCCTACAATCTGAGAAGAAGCCTACTCGCTGAAGTGATGCTGTGCCAGATCACGAGGCATACGCGCTGAAGACCCTCGATACAAAAATAAGGAAAGAAACCTGCTCGCAAGTAGCTGAAGAGGTGGACCACAGTGGCAGAGGCTGCAAGCTAGCAACAGGCTCTGCATCACAACCTTATACACCTGCCTTTCTGCTCAATCGCAACGAGTGCTTGGCTGTCAAAACCTTACCGGGAGTGACTACTCTGCTTGTTCTTCGGGGGGCTGGGCTTCCCCCCTGCGGCAACCCCTTTGACGACCCTCCTCGCCTTTGCCGTGTGTGGGCGGTAGACTTGGTGCACACGGATTTGGACCAGCTTTGCGTGGTGCGCGTGGCGGTGAGGTTTTGGCACGTGGGGCCGGGGCTTCGAAGGGAGCCCTGCGGATGGGATCCCCGCCCAGGGAAGGCCAGGCTTCCCGAGGCCAGTCCGTCCTGGAGAGGAATGTTCAAAATTCGGATAGATATTACTGCTTGATTGGCAACGTCTTTTGATATCGACAGAAGGCTGACCCATTGTTTGTGGGTGTCAAAGTGATCAGAGAGTCAAATAGAGGAGGCAACAAAGCGCCAGAGAATAGAACGGCGGGGACAATGATTGTGTGCAGGAAAGCCGGGGAACTAGCAACAACGATTCAACGTTATCAATCTACAGAAAGTTCTGTGAACGTTGTTGTCTGTGGTGCTTCCATCTTTGTCCTCATCCATTTCCATCGCTTGACCAGTCACCATGCACTCTCAAACAAAGGTCGAGGCTGCAACAAACCTGGGCTCCCTGTATGCAAGACACAAGCGAAAGCTTGAACCAAACGCAGGCTCAGTTCCCCTGGCTTGAGAGAACCAGGAAACATTCAAAGCAATACAGCTCAGTGCCACTTTTCATCGGACCCGACCAAGACGTCAAGCTGAACCTTAGAAATGGCGCCGTCGTACAGATGCTTATCTACCGAAAGCAGATTCCGCTGCCAGCACTGGTGCACACTCTAGAAGCTCACAGAGGCACAGCCACAACCAGAGCCAGTAATAAACCTAGCCCCCTCACCTGTTCTCCGGGGCGCATCCTTCCATTTTGTCCCCGCCCCGGGCGCTCGACGAGGCGACAGGTGCGTGGCGTCTGGTGGAATCTTCACTTCCTGCTGCTGCTTGAGATGCCGCAGCACTTTGCTCCAGTAATATGTCGTCTTGCCGGCGGACGGGCCATTCGGACCCCCTGTGCGGTATGGAGGACATTCGTCAGGACAATTGCATCGCAAGTTACTGTACTTCTTTGGACATCCAGTTGAGTATCTTGTCTCAAATGTCAGTGGGACTGTCTTCGCCAGGAACTCTTGGTCTTAACGCGTAGCTTTTGCTAACAGGGGATACAAAGACACAGATTGTACCTGGGGCGATTTTGGAAGAGCAAGAGAAGAACTCACAATACAGCTAATTCTATGTTTGAACACAATCTAGTGATGAGAATTCCTGGGAAGGATCACAAGTAGCTCCAATCAACCTGACTTCTGCATGTCTGAAGGGAAGTGCCAGAGAAGCAACAAAAGCACTAACAAAGTATCAAGAAGAGAATTGGAATGCAGTTCAAGAATTAGATAGAGGCCGCCCCAACACCTTTCACCAATCCTTGAGCAGCAGGATTTCAATATGGCGCAGGTAATAAGGAACTACTGTCCCTGACTTTATCACATGCCCCAAGGCCAAGATGGACAAAGCAGATGACGTAACAAGGTAGCGAAGCTTCTCACCATTGTGAACCTTTGCCAGGGTCTCGTAGTCCTGCGTCTCCAGGGCCTTGGGGCAGTAGATGGACCAATATTGGATGACAGTCTCCTCAGCATGGTCAATGTTCCTGAAAGAAGGAAGGGAACAGTTTGAGATGCAGGCAAGCACTTCGGAAAGGGAAGAAAAACAGGCACTTTGAAGAAGTTTTCACAGTGAAGGACGAAAAGATGAGGCCTGAGAAGTAAGGCGGAAAAGTCGGCAGGAGGATTTTGCAAGCGCAGAGCCGGCAATCTGTGCAGCCCCAGAGATGGCTTGTCTGGTGTAGACTGGGATCATGATTGTCAAGAGGTAGGATAGTTGAGCTTATCTACAGTCCATGGAAAGTCCTTGCTCGTGCACCGACCCCGGAAGTCTAGAATGGAGGAAGCCAAGAAGCACGGTTGTGGCTGACAGCCACACCATCCCAGAAACAATTCGCCCGAGAAACTTTGATCACTTCTGCAGTGCCGTTGCTAATGTTGAAGTGCAGCTATCCCCTGTGCAACACGTGCCTCCCCAACAGAGCCTGGAGCCTTTTCCTCGACCACTTCAAAGCATGCCAGAGCAGATGCATCTTCACGGATAGATCCTAGTTCTTGAGCAGAGTTAGCCTGGCAATGCTGTAAAGGATTGCGCCACAACAGTGTTCCCTTGCTGTTTGAAACAAAGTTTGACGAAGGCATGATTGTCTACATTAGAGACTTCTTCCAACATCCGCACCCTTCCATTCCCCCCAGAATCAGACGAAATTGGCAGTTCCCCAAAAAGTGCCGTTCTGCTTAGGTCACTGATTGGAAGCCGATGGATTCTAGCACTGATTGAGTTACTAAAGCCGGCAGCTTGCTGGAGAATCTCTCTGGCGTGCTTGCCTCAAGTATGTTGGCACCAATTTTCAGCACTGGATTTACTTCAAAACTCCATTGTTATAAGAAAGGGTCTTACATCCTTGGGGTTGCATGCAACTGCTCTCAGCTGTAGCTGTCTTGTCACAGGTCCAAGCTTTTCAACTATTTGAGTACCGTCAATTGCGCACTGCAGCCATTAAGTCCATGGAGGGCATGAACCCAGCCCTTTGAGCAACTCAGAATTTGGTGAATACGCAAGATTCCTTAACCCCTTTACAGGAACGCATTGGCAGCGGGCGCCACACGCCACACATTGGAGCGTCTGTTCAGAAAACATGGAAGAGAATTGAGCGGTCATGGCCAAACTTCAACAATCCTTCCTAAAACCAGGGCGAAGGGGCTGTGTTTCTTAATCTCAGTGCAGACTGTCAGCTCTTTTCAATTGGATTTGGAGGCTCCAACAAACAGATTAAAACAGACGGCGAATTCTGAACCAGCACACTCCTATCTTTTAAACGCGCTCTCGCATGTTCCAAGATGGCTTGCTAGTATTGAGAGTATAAAGAACCAACATTCACACCGACACCAATAAACCGTCATTACATTTACTAGTGCAATTCAGGGGTTCTAAGTGAATTGGTGTCAACATTGTCGCAGCTGAAACGCCTCACCTCGCCTTCTCCCAGGGGTGCATCTTCTGCCAAACGTCGTGGTGATAGTCCAAGCTAATCTGCAGCGGCCCAATGCTGGTCCCGTCATCACCGTCCGGCACGTTCACCCTGTTGCTGCTCTCCACAAACCTCAATGCATTCAACAGCGGCCGCAGCTCCAAGCGCTTTAGCTGTAGCTCCCGCCTGCTCAGCTTCTTGAGGCATATGCCGGCGCCACCCCCCATTCTTGGATCTGCTGTCCGCCACACCATTTTCCCGCTCTTTGACGGCGGACTTTCCTTGAACGAGAAGGGCGCCTTGGCGTTTGCATCTTTTTCCCGGCTCGCTTTCGCGGCGGCGCTGTTGCCGAGCGCAGCCTTCAGCAGCGAAGCACTGGTCCATAGATTCTCCCTTCGGACAGGCTTCCACGAGTGGACGCCACTGATGTCATCACAAGATGCCTGCCCCCCCGCCCGGGCTACAGGTGCTCCATTCGGCACTGCTGCATCCCTCGGCAGTGATTGGTCCCTGGCCTGCTTCTCTAACAGAGCCTCTTGTCGTCCAACCTGCCCGAACACGCTTTGAAAGGCATGGGTCCCTCTCGAGAAGAGTGTCTCCTCGTCCGTCTCCCTGGACGAGGAAAGCACCTGGCTTTGCACCTGCATTGTGCGCCTGCATTCAGGGGCTGCAAAGATCAACACATCTGGCCTGTTGTTCAGTCAACTGGTTTGCGCAGAAATAAAGCGCCCTGAAATTGTCTTCTCCTCCATGATCATTGTCCTTCTTCCTCTTTCTGCAGCTGCTGGCCCCAGACTCCAGAGCTCAAATCAATCGTTCTTGAAGAATTATCAGCCCATCTCCGCGCCGCTTCCAGTCGCCTTCAAAGTTCATCTGATCATCATTCACGCGAAATCTTTTCCCTCCCAAAGTGCTGGAACAAAGAGCTGAAACTGAAAGGAGGTTGTTGATCAAATTGTTTGGATCTCTGGCAAAATGCCGACTGGCTTCGAGAGATACGACGAAGTAATCAGCCACTCTGCGTTGTGCAAGACCGATCATCTCCAACACGTACGCAGCAGTACGCTAGGAAAATGTGTAAATCTTCGTAGATAAATTTCTAAGCGTGTACTGTATATCGACGCATATATTGTGCCTAAATTAGCTTATACATCTGGCAGCGGCTACACAAACCACGGCCAAACAGCAGTACGGCGCATTCGTCAGATCCTGTACGGTACGCGCTTTTACAAAAGATTACCGTTGGGCGGTCTACTGATCATCATGACGATCTTGCGGTCGGCAACGTCCCAGACTCAATCGACGGCATTTAGGTGCTGGTGATACACCATCGATGACCCATCGATATCCTTCTCGTCATCTGGACGGCTTGAATGCAATGAGAGCCAAAACTTCTTTTCGAAAAGCTGTGGCCATGTCATGAAGTTCTGTAACACTTTGTCCGTCCGATGCACTGATGCGCCTTCGAGGACGGCTCACAATCATCATTAATTTTGTCCGATAAGGTTGCGCGACAACTTTGGGCGACTTTAGGCCACACCGTGCATGTGAACAGGAACTGACATTGACAACTGGACAATGGCTGCGGAAGTTTGCAGTTCCACCTTTGACTCCGAGATCACAGGTACATTTTTGCTTGGTGCGCAGCAGAGCCAGCTGAAGAGGGCAGCGTCATGCCTCACTCGCTAAGTCCCCGGGAGCGGAGTCCGGGCCCTCCATCGGGGTCGTCGAGGCGCAAGGAAAGGACGTCGTTGCTCGTGCGCAATCTTCCTCGGAGCATGCGGTGAGCATTTCTGACTTCTTCGTTGCGCTGGAGCAAAGTCACAACTCCATTGCCTGCAAGTGCGCGAAGTGGCATTATGTGTTGCAGTTCCTGTTGGGATGCAAAAGTGTGCCAGACAGACTTGATTTGCAGAAGCAGAGACTTTTGCGCAGAAAGCGCCCTCGAAGCTTAAGAGTGGTTTCCATTTTGGTCCAGGAGACTGTATCAGTGACCAGTCTTTGCCGTCTTCACTTTGACGGGAGACTGACCGGTGATCATCATGCTCATATGAGTGGTTATGGTGGTCGATTAGCTGTTAATGGTTGGATAAGGGTTTGGATATATTATTCCTGATTAAGTTGAACCTATTACTTTCCCAATGCTTATTTTGAAAGACTGAGCTTTTGAATATTGAGGTGTCGAGGCTGGCTGCCAATGAAAGCACTTCAATGAACCAAAGATTGGCTCATCTGGTGCACCTACTTGTTTGAAAACATTTCCATGAAAGTCTAGCTGTGCGGCTCGGGGATTGCAGAACAGATACTATTTGATTCATGGAAGTTAGAGGAATTCCGTTTTTGATCTAGCTGAATGTGGTAGAAGCGGTCCAAGAAGTTGCCATTCTTTGCTCTGGACCACCCGCTCCTGCCATCATTGTTATAGGACAGGTTGCAGAAATCTTCTCCACTTTCATCAATTGTTTGGCATCTTCTGAATGCTGCTGCATTGGACCTTGAAGAACTCAGTTCTAAGGAACTGCAGACTTTGTCCGCCGGAGAGTAAAAGTACTCAATGGCGGGTAACATCTTTCAAATTTCCGCGTTTGCAGTCAGGAGGAGCTCCGCTATGCCTTCACCCGCTTTGGTCCCATGCGAGACGCTTACATCCCGAGGGACTACTACACAGGGTACGTTGCACCACCACCTTTTTCCATCATAGAAATTGGTTAGTTTCAGCAGCCAAGACTGGTCCGAAACGTGTGAAAAGGTCGTCCGCCTGTGGGTTCATGTGAACGTAAAGACTGATAGTTCTCAGCATGTAACATTGGTCGGGAACAAGATCCTAGGCAGCGAAACAGTGGACACAAAATTCTGGTGATAGGATCCCCCATACAGCGCTTTCCCAACAGTCAGGAACTGTTGCAGGCTTTTGGCACTGTGAACAGATTTGTTCACCCAACAGAGCCTGGGGAGGGGGCTTCACACCTTTTCTTTCACTGTTGCCCAAAATGAAGTCCTCTAATGCTGTAGCTGTGTGGTTCAGCCTGAAGGAACAAGATGAAGTCACGACATTTGCGGTGAAGATGAAGATTCTGACATTCAAGATCAAGTCGAGATCCAACCCAGAGACCTGCTCGCAAGCCCCACCCCTGGAATCAAGATGAAGAATTGCTGTGTAGCACTCGTGAAGTGAAGAAGAGGTGACGTGAAGTGAGAGCGAAGATCAAGACACCTCCTCAGCCAATTCTGCCGTTGGTAGGTATATGGCAGTGTGGTCGCTGCGCAATTTTTGCCACACCATATTGGCAGTGTACCATTGGAGAGCTATCATAAGGCTTCCAGGGTCGGAGTAAAGTCTAGAGCTCCCACTTTTGGGGAGCTCAAGAAACCAGCTTTTGTTGAGATCCTAGCAGGTTCAACGGAATGGAACTGTACTAGATTTGTCCCGCTTTCGGCGAAGCTCTCATTCTGCATTGTAAACAAAGGGCCTGGCCGGCAGCAGAGTTGGTATCTGAACACTCTCATCAATATGCGATTGGGCAGGTAAGGTCGTTGGAAAGGCACCGGGAGTGCAGGTAAGACAGGTACGTTGGTAGAACTCGTGCGGTTCTGGAGAAGTCATTAGAGCGGTTGTTTCTCACCAATCGCTGCTCCGCATAGTGAACATGGAACACCAATAAGAGATCTTTTGTTGCTTCCCAGTCTGAGGGGCCTTTCTTCTCACCCTTTTTGCTCCAGGGAGTCCCGTGGATTCGGTTTCGTCGAGTTCGATGACCCCCGGGACGCCTCGGATGCCCAGTACGACATGGACAGGAGTGTCCTAGCGGGGCGCGAGATCACTGTCGTCTTTGCGGAGGAGCGGCGGAAGGCGCCCGACGAGATGCGGACTCGAGAACGCACGAGGTATCGCAATCTGCTCTGCTCTGCTGATCAAATTCAGCGCTGATTTTCTGCCACGGTTGTGTGATCCGTGAAAGGTTGCTCTACCGCTTGGTGAACACACGCGTCAAAAAGGTGGCGCTGGACTTCTTTGTGGTTGTGCGAAGGGTAGGACGTCCTGGTTGATCCCAGTCTGCAAAGCCCAAGTGACGTCAGGCAACGGAACATTGTTTGCTGGCCCCCCAGCTTAGTTCGGCAAGATCGTTTAGACCAAGCTCAGGTCTGATACACAGTTATATCCTATGAGTGTTGATCAATTGAATCACAGCGGTAACTCCGCATCGATTTGTGCTTGTCGCTGCCTTACGGTCGTCTGCAAAGCTTGGAAGAGACCAAATTTGCGCAACAAGGCACCGCCTATTGGCATCCCAAAGACGTCTGCAAGTGAGGAGTCAGCTGTCCATTATGCCAAGCACTGAGGGGTTGTCTCCCTCATAGGGTGGGCAGATATGAACATTTTCGGGGTGCACCGTCCCGCAGGAACCAAATTCTCGTCCCTCAGGTACCGAAAACCGGTGATTTCATCCCCCAGAATTTTAACTCGATGTTCTGGAGGACGATACGTCCCTCAGGGTCGCCGGTAAAAATACCAAGGGACGGTTGGCGGTCGCTCCTTGGACAGTCTGCCTCGCCTTAAATATCGGGAAGTTTCAACTTTTTGTGCAATTCATCCCTCAGGGAAATATGACCAAAGCAGATCCTCGGGGAGCATGCGCTCCCTCAGTGAACACTCGCCACTTCCCCGAGAACTCATACATGACCGCCCTATCAGAACGAGGATCGACACCGGGGGCTGCAAGCCTTCCGTTCGCAGCCTGCAACCGTTTGCTGACGTCAGAATTGCCCATTTGCGCAGCCGGCCACCCCCTCGAGATTCCCGGGAGCCTCGTGACCCCGATCGGCGCCGCCGATGTAAGTGACATTATTCCCATCTTTCCGAGAGGTGTGTGTGCAGAGGACGGCCTTGACTGTGCTTTTCTCATGATGCAGACGTTCCCTCAGTCATTTCGAAATGTGTGGGCTTTGTCGAGGAGAAACAACCTTCGTCCTGCCAGTCGACTTAGATAAAGGGCCTCACCTTTGCCGTGCTTTCTAATCTTCAGCATGGAGCATGAGCTTTTTTGCCATCGTTTAACCCGTAATTTTGCATCTTCTGTGCAGCTTATTCCCCTCGCCGCCGGGACTCGCCGCCACGGAGGGACGTATCTCCTCCACCCCGGGATCAGAGCCCACCAAGGTTAGTTGACCCAGTCAAACTAAACCTCATTGAAATGTTGGCGGATCGACGCCAGAGGAAACGGCTTGCTCTGCAGAAGAGGAGAGTAGCCTTTAAGTGAGACGGACCCTCTTGTGGTTGCGGCTGCTTACTAAAAGACGTGTTCAAGGGTTCCCTCGAGCTCTGCAAGTGGCCAAGCAATGATTTCGTAGCTTTCTAGAACCTGCGAGCGGGCTCGGTAATATCTTGTTGCTAGAGCTTTCTCGAGCTGTTTCAGGTTAAGTGTTGGTCGCTTTTAAGAGGTAGGTGAAACCCTCGTTCGGGAAGTCTCGCCACTTTGGAATCCAGACAGTGCCGCTGTTCCTGTGTTACTCTGAAGCCGGACTGGGATTCTCTAATTGAGAGAGAACTAACCAAAGCGGAGGGGGGTCATGTTGTCTTCACAAGAAGACGTGCAGACCGGACGCGTCTGCAAGCGCTGAGATTCACGCCCTAGCTTGTTCTCTGCATACTGATCATTGACGTGGTCGTGCTTCTTCTACTTCACCTGAGCTTGTTGTTCGATGGTCGGGTATACTTGGACTAGGATCTGGCATTTGCTTTCTGTTCGTAAGTCAGGGCATAGAGACTGGTCGGGACTGCGGTGATCCGCCTCTCTGATTCACTGTTTCTCTTTAGTCTTCTAGCCAGACACCGGCAGAGTAAGCTCAACACTGGCCGTACTTCACAGCCAAGGACATGAGAAAACCATTATACTTCTCTCTAAATGTGGGGACCTTTAGTATCCGGTTTACCTTGCAGCCGTCTAGCAGCCAACCAGGTGTTTCGAATCTTATTGCAGAGCTAGAGACGAAAGAGAACGGAATCGGTCTCCAACACGCTCACCGCCACCGAAGAGGACCCCATCCCCGCGCACAGGGTCGAGAAGGTGCGTGGTGTTGTGTTCACTCAGCGACTTTCTTTACCTCGAAATATGTGCCACTTTTTAAAATCTTTCTGGCCATTATTCTGCAGTGACTTGAGCAACCCCGCGTTTAACAAGGTTGGGCATCTAGCTATGAGAGAGCAAAAGTCGGACTGCTTTAGAGCTTGTTATTGGCCCTCAGTGATGCAACTCCGTTCTTTAGTCAACCCTGAAGGAGCGAATTCTAGTTGCTCATGCTCCTTGATTCTGGTCCCTGTCCTGCTACGTGTTCAAGGATTTCTATTTGTGATAGGCTCAGCTGTCCGTATTGCGGTGTGCTCACCGCACCTTGCTCACCTTGTTTGTTGTCCTGCTACGTGTTCAAGGATGTTCTATTCGTGATAGGCTCAGCTGTCCGGATCGCGTGCTCACCACATCTTGCTCACCTGTTCTTCTGCAGCCCATCACGGTAATCCTACTTCAAGGAGCGGCAAGCAAACGATGAACGAGTTCTCGTTTTGTGCAACATAGATGCCAAGCTTTGTGGCGTCTATGTACTTTCGCTAAGCTTCAGCATGACAGCAAGAGAGGGCGAAGCTTCAGGTTCATTGTACAGTACCATTGCATGCATGATACCTAAGTCATCACAGCGGACAATCGGTCCTGCCAACCAAGTGTTAAATATCATCTGTGCATTGGAGAGCTTTTGATTTTGTGGAATACCTTTTAAGGTACGACAATGGCATAGAGGTTTGCAAACCGTTCTACCTACTATAAGGTTATGCCGCATGCAATTGAGTTCTTTGTGGGTGTCTTGCATCCAAGAAACTGAACTTGCAACTATGTCGATCACTGGCTTCTAGTGTTGACGTAAGAAATGTCATGAGCCAGATTCCCGCTGCATGATGTCAATGAATGGCTCAAAGCAGCCGGCTGAATAGTGTCCTTAATTTAGTGGGACGCATGCGCATGTCGGAGTGGTTGGTTATCGTCGGACGGTCCGGTCGACAAACAATTAGCTAATTTGCATCCGGGTGGCATTTGCAGTAATTGATCAAAATATTTGGATCGAAGACCCAGGCCGATCTCGATATGTTCAGTCTGCTGGCAACTGCGTTGATTGAATTTGATTACAGCTGAAAGAAAATGTCCATATATGACATCCTTATATACATATGCAGATCGGATGAACGACCGCCGCCGCGTCATTTATGCATAGGTTTACCATCCTGTCGCTGCACATCATTACGTGCCAGTGCCTTGAACTTCGAGAGTCCAGTCAATTGGAACTTCTATATAGCATTTATTATATAACGCCCTTCTAGCCACGTTAATTGGAGCCGGCCATGGAGCACGGTCTTCGGCAGACCCGGCCGGGATGTTGTTTGTTGACTCTACAACTTGCTACAGCTATCGAATGCAAGTTATGTCCGGGCTTACTAATGATTGATGCATGGCCTGCGTAAACGAGCCGCGATGCAGTTGACTAAGTTAAGATGGAATCATGGCAAATTGACTACGTCCTCTCAGACGGTCACGAACTTATGCAATGCAAACATACTCACTCGAAAGTTGAGGCCAAAAACCATGCATCTTCATGCAAAGTGCCAGCTAGCTCATATGCATGATCGACAAACATAAACTCAGCGAACCCATTTGAAAACAATTTTACAACGTGCTCGAGGCATGCTATTGGAGAGGAACTCAAAAGGCGTCTTAGAAAGGTCCGACTTAATATCCATACTTACACCAATATATTGTCTCAACTCACTGTAAAACAGACATGTGAGTGTCCAAGTAGATTGCACTGTCGAGCCCGTTACAACTTGATCTCTAGCAGCTCGTTACTTCTATGAAACGCACAAGTAGTCGTTGGTCCATTAGTCGCAGCAAACCCTTTCGCACACCCTGTTGCAACCCAATCATAACCACACTCATCCCCGCCAACTCTCCAGCTGCAACCGAGCAGCATGCCCAAGCTTGGCTGCTTGCCCCTGTGCTTGAATCACCTTATCCTTGATGACGTCAGCAAATCTGCTGACACCCTTCTTGCCTTGCTCCTTGACAAAGCGAGCAACCAGCCCCGTCTGATCGACGGTCTGCCCTACATCCCTCGTGATCGACGCTTTGATCGCCTGCACCTGACTCCCCTGCTCCCGAAAGAATGAGAATGAGAAATCGCCCACGCTCCGGCGGGCGCTATCCGCTTCCCTACTCGCACTCAGCACCGTCCTCGCGACAATCTGTACCTGTTGATCTAACTCGGTTGCAATCCGTAACCTCGAAGCTGACGCGTTCGGGCTACACAGCCAAAGCGCTAGCCCAATCACGAGCCCAATCAACGTCGTCGCAAAGAATCGCATGACCCCTCCGGTCTGCCCGGAACCCTCCTCGCTATCGCGCGCCTCCGAATCAGTCCCGGCCGGAATTACCTCGGCATCTAAAGCCACCGGCGCCCCTTCCCGCGCCTCCCTTTCTAATGCCCTCTTCTTTTCGAGGGCGTTCCGCGCTAGCCGCCCATAATACGCGCTCAAAGAATCCTCCTCGGCGTCCACCCCCCCGGAACCAATGCTCTCGATCGCCCCGCTTTCAACACTCCGTCTCGGTGCTTCCAGGGGCGCCGGTTCTTCCACCGGGAGCAACCGGTTAATCCCAACCTCAAGATTGCCCTTCCAGAGCTCCCCTGGCTCCTCCAGAGCAACCGGTTCGAGCATCGGGCCGTCCAACCGAGGCCCCCCGGGGGAAACTAGAGCGGGCGGACTTTCGTCCCTAACATCGATGGTCTGATCGGCTTCCAAAAGCGTGGAATCGACTTCCAGAATCTCGATCTCTAGCGTGACAGGGGGCGGCACTACTGCGGCTACTGAACTGGGCGTGGTTTCGGGTGAGGGGGTAAAAGATGTTTCGGGTGCGGGCTCGATCTCTGGTTCAGGAGGGGGGGGAGAGAGGAAGGAGAACCAATTGGGGGGTTCCTCTCGCAGAATGAGCGAAGTGGGCTCGCTGGCGGTGGTCGCGACAGGCTCGGAAGGGCCTGAAAGACAATAAACTCCAGGTATAAGCTGTCTGCATAAGCCGTAAGCTATGCTACTTCAGATCGCCACCGCAACTGATTAACTGGCCTACACTGCGGCTACGATGTTGAGGATCCCAAGTGAAACAGACCGCATGAGCAGACGAAGTGCAAAGTATTCTGTTCAACCAATTCTGACGACAAGCTCTTGCTGCAAAAGGTCAATTCAGCCTTAATTTAAAAGGGTTGAATGAGTTTTAGAATGTGGTAAAGCTGAGTCACTTCTGAAGGTGTATCAACGGAAGGACCGTCGAGCATGCTTTTGAGAAGGCAGACGACAGACCACTCTCTCCTGTGATTGTCGACGGGAGTCCAGGAATATCCATCGACAATACGCCAGCGAAATTGCTTTAATCAATGAGAAGATGGTCGCAAGAAGTGTCGATATTGCTTAACAGTGCACCTACCTTCGGGCGCCTTTTTCGAACTCCACCCAAACACGTTGCCAAAGAAGCCGCTGGTCTGATCTTGGTCCTCGGGGGAGGTATTTACAGGAGCCTCGGCCAGCAGCTCTTCCGTTTCCGTTGGGGGGGGCGCAACCGACGCCTCCGCCTGAGTCCGCGTGATCGGGCAAAGGGGTCGGAAGTAGAGCTCGGGGGTCGGGTGATAATCCTGCAAGAGCATATGGAATGGAGTCAAGCATTGGAGCCATGGCAATGGCATCACAAGAAAGGGCACGGTGAAGGAGCCGGATCTCAGAAGGAAAGGCCTGTTTCTAACAATGGCAGTGAAAGGTGGATCGCTTCACTGTATCCGAAGAAGTGACGAACGACCCGATTTTGCGGATGCAAACTGGAAACTCAGCCAGACAACAAACAAACTCCACCTAAACTTTCTGCAAAAAGTTTCCCGAGCTCCACGCCGCGTTTGAAAGAACGTTTGTCAAAACGCTCCTCGCACTCACCAGCCCCGCGTGCATGCGCCGCACAAAGCGCACAAACTCGTTCCAGTTGTGCTCAATCATCAACTCCGGCCCCAGCCGCAGGAACGTGAACGAGCTGATCCGCCGCACGGGAACCCCGTCCATTCGCACCCCGTCCGGCCGCGCATTCCCAATGATCTGATCGAACGCCCCGAGGTCGTACCGCGGGAGCGCGTTCTCGCAGCTGACTTCGACGCCCTGGCTCCACGCGGCGTTCAAAACCTGCTGTACGAGGCCCTCCGGGGAGCACTTCGCCTCGAACCACTGCTCCGAGTTGCGCATCTCGATGCACGTGAAGTTGAGGGTCGCGTTGTGGCGCTTGAGCATTGCCGCGATCGGGAGGTAGCCGTCCCGCTCGCGCGTGTTGTAGTACCCGGCCGCGAGCTCCGCCGCGTGGTTTCGCGAGTTGTACCACCAGTGGACGCCCGCCACCTGGCAAAGTGACAGCGGCACAACGTCAGCAAATGAAAAAACCTCACCCAGCTCTGCTCGATAGAAAGCGTGGATGGCCACCATCAAAGAGAATGATGGAAGGATGACGTCAGCGAGACAAGACATGAACTTCCAAACATATCAGCAACTAAGCTCTTACAGGCACCGAAAGCAGCGGATTGTAAACGAAGCCAGGGCGTCATGACTCAGCACCCCTATCAGAGGCCCGACTCTCGTAATTCAACATTACTATGAGAAAGCATTTATTAAGAACGCCTCTTACACTGCGGCCAAAAACACAAAACCACATACCTGAAACGAGTTTTCGTACCCCAGACCAAACGAACGGATCATGACTATGCCCACCTTTGCCGCCAGCCGCGTGGTGCACCCCTCAAACGCCTCCGACGCCGCCTCGAGCACTTTGTCCCCGTGCTTGAGCAACACGTTCGAGTACCACTCCAGGAAGAAGCGCCCGTACTCGCTGTTGAACGACTCGTAGCTGCCGAAAAAGCCGGTCGCGTGCGGCCAGTCGTTGTAGCGCCCCGAGTCGTGCGGGCCGGAGTAGCCCCACTCGTAGCGGTCCACCGCCTCCGCAGCTTTGCCTAGCTGCTCCAACATGTACCGGTCGTAACACTGCAGAAAGAGGAAAGTCGACAGCAATCAGCGATCGGAAACTGCGTGTCAAGGAAGACGATCTCCGCAGCATTGCGCAGCTCCTCAAACAATGTTGGTCGCAATCTTATGAAAAGAGGAAAGACAAACTTGATCACTAATAAAGAGTGTGTCTTAAGGAAGGCAGCCTTTCACGGTTTCCCTAACTTCTTCAACATGTAGTGTTAACACTGCGAAAAAAGGCAAGTCAACCACACTGAGTAATTTGAGCGTTGTGTGTCAAGGAAACGGGCTTCCGCGGCCTTGCCCGGCTGCTTCAAACATGTATTGGTTGGAACACTGCATCAGGGGAACTCCAGAAACGCTCGAGTAACCGTGATCCTGTGTGTCAAGCGGATGCCACTGCATCTGGAGATGCTAAAAAGACGGACGCTTTAGAGTCACCCACAAGAAGCTTTACGGAAGTGCTTGGCGCGGGTGCACCTTGGTTTGGAAAGTCCTTGACAGAGGCTTCAACAATGTGCTGCAGAAACAGAGAACGAACTACAAAACCGACAAGAGGTTGGTAAAGCGATTTACAGAGGTAATAGAAACACGACGAGAGAGATCCGGGCGATTCGGAAGCTTGAAGAATCACGACCAACCTGGAACTCCCCAATGCCTGGGAATCGCCACCCATGCGTCTCGGGGTATGAGGGGAACCGCAACTCTCCGGCAGGCCCCACCCCGACCTCGATCTCGTGAAACAGACCCGCCTCAAAGAACTCCCGCATCTCGTTCCTGAAACTGACCATGAAGTCCTTGTACACCTGTAGAAACCGGGTCCAAAAGAGGGTGAGAAAAGGGAAGGAGGCAGACTGGACTTCTGAAGTCAGCAAAAAAAGTTAGATGTCTTGCAGCTGAAAGAAGACTACAAGCATGTCTGACATTTGCCTGACAAGTCAGAGCCCCACACACAGCGAAAATCTTTGTTTTCGGGTGGCTTTCTCACTTTCAAACTGGCACGTTCAAACGAGGATTGGGCTACGAGTCTAATAGGTGGCTAAAGACGGACTTCCACATTGAAGAACATGACAAACCAGGTGGCAACCTGAACGAACTAGACGAGGGAGCAAATCCGCACCTGGATGGCTGACCGCCCGTCCAACTCTGGTCGCTCGTCTATGCTAAAGCTGAGATACTCCCGGTTGCGCATCCGGTCCCGGTTGGTGAAAAAGATGTCGGGATTCAGCTCCCCAATGTCCAGCACCCAGGGGGGTAACGGGATGTAGCAACTGTCCCCCGTGTTACCCCCACACTGGTGAAACGACATGACAACCTGCAATCAAAGGGACAGCAGTAACAGTAAGAAGCCGAGCTTTCTGAGCTGAAAATTCGGCAATCTTCAAACACGGTTCTGAGTCGTTGGGAGGGCTCAATGTGCTCCTCAGCAGTGCCACCAACCGGTCAGCTTCTGAACGAATGTCCCGGTCTGCAAGAAGATGGGATTCTATGACGAGATCGGGCCTGCAACGATTTTCAGCTTCCCGATAACGTCGATCATGTACTCAGATGTAAACACGAGTGGCCAAACACGATTACTTCAAACAGGGCTCCAAAACTTTCAGGATTTGATTCGGAGCTGCGATACTGACCTGCATCTTGAGCCCCACAGAACTGACGGCGGAGAAGAGCGCGCGGTATGCGGACCAGTCGTACTGCTTCGGGCCGTTCTTTTCAACAACGCCCCACCAGACGTCGGCCATGCAACCATCGACACCCGCCGCTTTCAGTGCTCGCAGGCTGTTGAGGAGGCGCTCGGGATGGGAGAGCAAGTTGTCAGGGGTCACGGTGTCGAGCTGGAGGGAAAGAAGAAGTAAGCTTTAGCATTAGTAAGGTAACCAGCCTTGGGAAGGGAAGGGTTAGTTTGAGGGTTGGGGTGGTTTGGGTGAGAAGCGGGTGATTCTGTGGGTTAGGTTTTTAGTTTTAATGCAGGAGCTTACTATTGCTAGAGCTTACTTTCGCCAACTTGAAGAGACATTACGAATGAGGATGTGGAGGATAAAACGAAGGTAAGGTTATAAAGCGAAATGATTGCTTGGATCTGGCTTAAACATTGCTGTCAAATGACGTCCTTGAATGCACTCAGGGGTTTGAAGAGGTCTTGAAGTGTTTTTGTGGTGTCTCGTTGGCCATGAGTACGTCCTCCTCGAGAGAAGAGCCTAAGGACATGACGATATTACAAAGCAATCTGATTGCACTGAGCACCGAGCACACTTCAGCGATGCTAGCAGCCTTACAACGTGCAGGCAGGCTGTTTGCGTTGAGATGGAGAAAATGTTGGAAAAGGGAGAAGTGAGGGCAGCATTCTGAAGCAAGGCCCTGTTGAAGATTGATCCTGTGCGCAAGACAGGGGAACAAAGAATAGCTTTATGATGGCAATGACAAGCATAGATGATTTGAGAAGCAGGATCATGCCATGCCAACACAATAGGAACCAACCAGAAAGGGAAAGAGATGCGCTTACACAAAGCTAAGAACTGTAACCAGACCGAGCATTTATTCCAAATCGGAGTACTATGTATGCCCTTCTTCAAAGTGGGATCAGAAAGGGTAGTGATCTCAATGGCAAAATCTGGAGACATCAGCTGAACACAGAAAATGAAAGACTCTGCAAAGTGCGTGACTAAGTTCAGCATGAGGCACCAACTCATGAACGCCAACCTGGCAGAAAGCAATGAACCTCGAGTTCAAAGCTAAGTACAGACCACAGGGGGAAGCAGCAATTGAAGAAGCACTGAAGATAAGAGAGCTTCATGAGCTCCATGAGTCTGCTGCATGCATATGCAATGACCCTAAAGATCACATTGACATTTCCACGTTCCACACCCGACAAAAGCTGAGGATCAGTGAGAGAACACTTCAACAGTGAAACAGAGCAACAAGGACCATCAGTGAATTACCAGAAGATAACCTGACTTCATTAAACAGAGCAATTAGAGAGATGCAAGATGACCCAGGCTACTCATGCTGCTCTTATGACCTCCTGCATCAATAGCTCCTCAAATACGAGGCACCATAACCTAAAGGGAAAAAGCAGGTCAACTATAAGATAAATGAAAGGCAAAGTCTACCAGGAATACAAAGAGAAGGCAGCAATAGAGGACCTTGACTTGAGGCTAGTAGCTGCCCTTGACCAATTTCCTGTGATCACAAGCTTTCCTGTGATTTCAAGCTTTTCAGTCCTTGCGATACATCAAGTCCAGCATGATTGAGGAATGCCTTGTCTTCCCTCAGCCCCCTGGAACCAGAAACATCTTTCAAAGCCAAGCAGGAACCAACTTTCCTAAAAGCAAAGTCAGATGGAGCACTCCCCCTTGTCAACGAACTGGCTTTTCAAAAAGAAGCAACGCAGGCGTATAGAAGCCCTGCTGTGCAGCTAAAAAACCAAGAGAAGCACAAAACTTGCAAGACTTGCAGGATAAGAGAAGAAGGGGCAACGCTCTCTTCTTACTTTTAAGGGGCAGTCTGACTCACCGGAAGCATAACGTAGACAGGTATGTAATGTGAAAGCAACACTTCTTGTTCCGTTCTGGCAGGCCGCCTCAAGTCCGGATAAAGCCCGTCTTTCTCCACCTGCAGAAGGGCACACCAATGTTGCATAAGCAGATGATCCCATCCGTCTTCAGGCAGGGCTGACAAAGCAGAGGAACAATCAGCAGAATGATGAAGTCCGCCAATGGAGCAAAAGGACGGAGAGTACCAGATGAAAGTGTGCTAGCTCAATGGCCACGTGCAACAGATGAAACTGAATGTGGGCAACTCCAAGTGCATTGACCAGCTGGTTGATCTCAGCGACAGCAGTCGTGATAAAAGGGACACTAAGGGTGTAATTTTTGGGAGATACCGTCCGAGCAGGCGAAGCACTGGACTCCTCTTACATAATTAAGTGGAAGACTGAAACGGTATCAAAAACCTACACAATCCCGACTCCTCTGATTCTGCTGCGTCAAAGCGGGATCACAAACCAATCTGAAGTCCAAGCGGGATCACAAACCAATCCGAAGTCCATTTGCAATGCACTTTTCAAGGTTAAGAGTATGGACGCCTTTTTCCAACAGCGACTGCCACATTTGGAGCTTCTACAACAGCTCAATCATACTGTCAGGAGGGTGCCAAGAGCATGTGTGCAATTGAGACGCTACTCCATGTATAATGTTGTACCACATAATGTGATGGAACATAGTGTCCCTTAGGAACGTGCACACAACAAAGAGGAACAGTATCCAGCTCCTTAGTAGAACCATGGAAATTGGGCAGGGGAGTATGCACAAGCCGACTACAGCAGCATACAGGTGAACATGAAAGAAATGACGTGCAAGTCAGCAATGCAAATGCAGGACAGGCCAAAGAACCACTACTTAAGAGTATTATGCTGTTGACGGCCCCGGTAATTTGAAATGTCTTTCCCGAGAATTTACGAGCAAGGCAGCTTTCAGCAACTACCTACTACAAGTGTACGGTCTACCTCGATCCTTACACCAACGTACAGAACTACAAAAACAAGCTCACAACCTGCTCCTTTCTAAATGCAAAAGGCAAGTGCCTGACGTGCACAAACCTCAAAAGGCTGGCCCACAGAAGCAACAAGCTCTATTCATTGCGATTATATTCAAGGACGCAGCACGCCTTGATCCATCAATGACCAATTCCTTGATGCAATTAAGATGTTAAAATTGCTCTACATGAAAATCGCAAGCGGATTTTTCCAAAGGTTGATATGTCCTGCTCTCTGCCTACATGCAACCTTGAAAGCTCTAGCTCAATGTGAAAGGTTGCTCCACACCCGAAGCATCCAGCAGTTCACAGCAATCAACAGCCTCTGGCCTGGATCAAGCCCTGGCTGAATCTGTGTAAAGATTAGGATTGATCGGGAAGCTTAGACAACCAAAACACAGCACAGAACGTCGACTCACCGCCTGTTCTCTTTCCAGAACAGGAAGCCCTGCAAACAGCTGCTGCTCCGCCGTCGCCATTTGACTTCTCCCTCCGCTAGTTGTCGCCCTCTCCTCCTTGCTTGCTGCAACGGCAGCTTCCTGGAAGCATCTAGTTGCCTGCAGGTGCACTTTTGGACTCCTATAACAAGCTGGGCCTTGTGACTCTGGCCAGAGACCCTCCCCGTGAGCCTTCCTTGCTTTCTCCGTCCTCAGACCAAAGGTTTGCAGCCGATGCCTTGAGGTTGCTCTTGCCTCTCGAACTAGTGATGACGTCCCCGCAAAAGAGCCCGATTCCTGCCGGTCATAGGCAGACGTACTAGCCACCAGGGAACACGCGCATGTTCCAACATGGCTTTCTGCGACAAGCGCCATGGTTGCGCTGCCCAGAATGCCTCACAGATTGTGCTTGTTACACGCCTATACAATGAAACGAATCAGGTCAAACACCAAGTGCGAACCCTAATCTGTAATCACCTGGATGGCCAGCAATCACCTTATTACATCCGAACCGGAAGCCTACTGTAGCCAATTGGGAGTGCATACGACTGATCAATCGCAGCTGGCAACTATTGCACAAGCTTCTACGGTAGTAGCTACATGTTGACAGAAGCCATTTGCCGCTGAGCCTGACCAGGACGACAGGAAGCCATCCGAAATCCTCCTCCCACAACTGTCGACCCCCTTCCAAGACCAATTCAAACCCTCCTGCTCCTGCGCACGAGGACTCAGGCGATCACAGGCGATCAGGCTTCCTTCCTTGCTCTCACTTTTGCAGAGATACAGAAGCTGAGTTGACACATCGCCAACACTCTAGATTTCTCATAGTCGGATAATAATTTAGTGTCAAGCTTTTGGATTGACAGCTGGACAAGCATCCGTCCACACCCGAGAAGTACGTACCGGCTTTCGACGGCGCGAAAGACGACAAATCCCCGGAAACTCGACAGCAAACGTCCTTGTGACCGCTGCAAAGGGCATTCATCGTTCAGCGTCGAATTGGACATGATTATACACACCGCATCAGCTCGGTACGGACCGTTGAGGCGCCGCGGCCAAAAAGCTACTTTTCCCAACTGACGTGGCTTCACTCCAGTGGTGAGTCAGCAAAATTCAGACTCTTCAACTATCTTCGGACTGCCTGACCTCCAAAAGGACGTCCGGATAGTGTCCGCAGTTGATCGAGTGACGTCAGAAGATACTCCAGCACGTTCCACGTGGACGGCTGTCAGCGGGGATTTTAGTCGCGCCTAATCCACGTGTCAGATGCAGCAGTGACTACTGGTCAATAGTTGACGGATGAGTCGTCCTCTTTGTCAATTAGACTGGTCAAGAGTGCTCTAGGTTCTAACCTTCAAAAACTCTCGGTGGATCAAGAAGCCGGAAAGTTGAACTTTGCAGTGATTTTTGGCAATGCCATCAAACGCCGTCAGGCGTGGCATTGCCTTGTATTACACCTGTACGTCCTCTCCCGTTTCCGCCTCCACAGACCGTTCCCGAAATCAACGAGAGTTGTTCCGGAGAAGTTCATATATGACTCGATAGTGCCAGAAGTTCAAAGTTCGGACCAATCCGAGTTCACAATGAAGTTCTCCAAGTTGTTCAGACTCTCATCGGCCCCGGCCACTAATAGTACAGCCTCCCCGCAACAAACAGTGCCCGGTTGAGCCCACGGGTAGCCTCGGCTCGACCGCCGCGTATGATCGGTAACTTTGCGCCGGCCAGCTGGGTCGGATCGGGCCGGATCTGGGTACGCGCTATGAACTAGATCGAACAAACACCAACAAACAGGCATTCGCGACTGCATTGCCATTTTTCGCGATTGATAAAACGCCCTTAGAACTCGTCGCTAATCTGCTGTTGTCGTTCTCCTGCATGAGAGTTCTTGCCTCTTGCCTTTCCTGCACTGATACATTAAGGTGCCCCCAGTCAAGGAGACTTTCCAGATACGGTAGGTAAGGTAGGGATGCTCTGACAAAGTTTTACAGAAGGTGTGCTGATCAGGAGCACCACCTGGAGTTGACAGCATGGGTTGCTTCAGCAGAAAGGGTGGGAAGGACGGCCCCACGTCTGATGCAGGCAAGTCGCAGGGTGATGACGCGCAAGCGATGGAGGAAGGCCCCTCTGGTGCTCCACCGTCCCCGCAGCCGTCTGTCTTTAGCATTTGGTTTGCGTCGCACCTGTGGTGGATCTGGCTGACGCCGTTTATGAAGCTGGGCAACAGAAGGGCCATCCAGGTAAGCTTTATTGATACATGCGCCTTAAAGTGTTGAAAGTGTTGCAGTTCTGTCTTGCTGTTTTGTGTTGCTTGTTTTGAAAACCAAATCCTTTTCAACTTTTTCTGAGCAGTGACATCGTTTCCTTAAGTGGTTACCTTCTACAACCATGCCCGGTTCTACAAATACCAGTGCCCTCATTTGAGTGTAGCATCACATGTTTTACTATTATAGTTGTTACCCTCTTTCTTGTTGTTGGTGGTGGCTTGAATCCGACACAAGTTGGTCAACTTTATGGTATTTCATTGAAATCGCTCTGGCCAAAGGTGGATTCACAAACTGCAAAAGCATGCTTCTGCTTATAGATGCACCTGAATTGTTACAGTCTGGGCATCTTGCCTTCAAACGGACAACGGACACAGATTTCGAGTTGACTGATTTTACATAGCCAGCTTTTCCCCAAGGAAGGGACAGTATCATTTCTAAGAAAAGTAGCAGAATGCAGAAAAGGTTTGGAATGGCTGTGGGCCTGAGAGCCTGGCGCATTGGAAAGAAGGTGGATGTAGGTGGTAAGAAGGTGGTTGTAGGTGGTACTATGTTTCATGCGATTGGAACTTGCGCCTTTCTATATCTTGTGTGTTCTATGGGCATTTACTCTAAGAAGGTGCCGCCAACGCCAGACCATATGGAGTGGGGATCGATGATCTAAAGAAGTCACTAACCCAAGCCCCGCTAAGCCTCCGACATCGAGCGGTGCCCAGTCGGAGACGCCGGGCCACACCATTTACTCTACTATTTCCATGTGGACTCAGCAAAGTTATAGACTCCCCCCCTATGTTGGCATTCAAAATGGGTTTTTAAAGGTTTGGCGGAGGTCTTAGTAAGCATTGATGTTGGAGATGGTTGAGGTTTATAAGCGCGGCCGGTGACCTGGATCGAAGGGAAAGGCTTTGGTGAAGTCCAACTTAAGGAGCACACTCTGTTCAGCTCTAAAGACGACCTGGTTGGAGTTATCCGGTAGCAAGGAGCCCCATCGCTAATCACATCTGACAACATAATTTTAATGAGCATAGATGAAGAAGAAGCGTCCCCCTTACAAGTTCGCGATCTTGACGGAACCTGCCTTAAATGCAAGGAACATCTTATCCAGGTTTGAATACAAAACTGACACTCTTCCTCCTTTGCCCTGGACAGGAAAACGATCTGTACCTTCTCAAAGAAAATGAGCGCACGCGCCGTAGCTACCAGGACTGGTGTCAAAGCTACCAGAAGGTCAAGACAAAAGATGGGCTTGACGCCGGCAAGCTCCAAAATGTCCCGAAAGCTGACCAAGTTACGGGCGGCAGCGTCAAAGTACCGAGGATCGTTGGCCGCATTCTTGTGCGGTCATTTGGGAGGGAGTACTTCACCGCTGCACTAAATAAGCCAGTGTGGTTGATCGCAGTCATTATGCAGGTAGGGCAAGCCGGACAAAGCATTCCCATGTGGGTGTTGTGATTGTTCGTTTGCGTTGACGGCTTTATGTGGTTGCCATGGGCCCCTGTAAGCTCAAAGCTGCGGAGTTTGGGCTCAGGTGCTCTTCAAACGGCTGGCTATTTTGTTCTAAAGAGGGGAAAGGGAAGACAGTGGACCTCCTTTCTGGCTTTCAATGTCTGCTGTTCTGCGCTGTCTGACAGGATTCATACCTCCTTGCTCTATGGCAAGCATTTTATCGGCAAGTTTCAAAGCACAGGCGTCTCACTTTCCAACTTTCGCAACTTGGTTGCAGCTTGCATAGAACCGGAGCTCGAGCGTTCAGTTCTTACTTTGTCAGTCTATGTAGGTCCCATATTGCTCTCCTGTTGGACTCCTTTACCTCAAATTTGACGCACCCCTTTTAACCCGCAGGTTTACGTATTGAAGGGCCTGGTTAACTTAGTGTCCAAGAAGCACCAGGACATTAACCTGGGTTGGGGCATCTTTTTGGTTATCGCCATGTTCCTAACCTCGGTGGTTCAGAGCTTAACCCAACACCACTGCTTCACGGGCAGTCAAAGGGTGGGCATGAAGATTCGCTCTGCAGTCAGCATGGCCGTCTTTGACAAGGTGAGGGTTTCCTTTGGTCAGGCGTCGTCAAAATATCGAGGCAGGGGTAGACGTGATTCCGACTGTGGTTGGTCATGACCTGGTTAATGTTCGAAATTACAGAAAGCTAGATCCGTTGCCCTATTAGCCTGGCCCTTTTGGACAAGACGAGTGTCGGGGCTCATCATTTATTCGACTAATGTAAATGACACACGTGTGACCTGGTCTGTCCACCTAAGCCGTTGGCTTGTTTGTAAGGGAAGCGCGGCGTCAACGTAAGCTGCAAAAAGGGGCTCATGAGGCATGGTTGAGATAGACAAACAATTGGATCCATAAAACCAGGTGTTTTTTGGCCTGAAGGAAAAAATTGGGGGCTTGCGATTGCTTTCAATACGATGCGTGCACCTCAAATACTTAAAGGAAGAAGCGCTCGGAGAAACGAAAATTGCATCTAACTTCTCAAATCTGCAGTTGCTAGTGATGCGGTCGGTGGCGCTGGGCGGCACGACGAGCGGCGAGATGATGAACCTGCTGACCAACGACACGCAGAAGCTGCTCGAGTGCGCGACCTACTTTCACTTCGTCTGGCACGGCGTCGTGGAGATGATCGTCGTGTGCATTTTCGCGGTCATTGAGGCCGGGCCCGCGGCGCTCGGGGGCGTCGCGATCATCGTGTTGATCAACCCGATCCAGGTACGTTTGCGCGTTGGGATTACAACACGTCTTCTGCTTTCACGAGAATTCTGGCTGTTGTTGAGGTGTGCGATGGTAACGGCTGTTGTCTGCCCCATTGCGGTCATCGAGGCCGGGCCCGCCGCGCTTCGGGGCGTCGCAACCAATGTGTTGATTAACCCGATCCAGGATTGTCTGCGTGCTGGAATCTCGACAAGTGTTGCAAGATTGTGACATTTTGGCTGTTGTCGAGGCTACGGTGGAAGGGCTGTTGTGCGCATCTTCGCCGTAATCGAGGCCGCACCCAGCGCAAGGGGGCGTTGCATCATGGTTCTGAACATACGATCCAGGTCGGCGTAACTGTTGGTTGATAGAACCTTACTGCATCCTTCAGCATCCCTGGAAACGTTGGACACCATCCTAGGCACTCTGCTATTCAACTGCCCTCTGCTGGCCCGTGGGGTACTTTGCTGGCCTGTGGGGTAGAGGAGCCCCAAGCGTGGGTATTTTCTGGGCGTGTAGGGTGGCCAATCGGCTCGACTGTCTGGTATTGCCAACGAGGATTACCATTTTTGTCGAGCCTCTCTGACTAGATTTCTGTGGGTAATTGAACCAGTGGATAGTTCCAATAATTGAACGTCAGCCTAACCAGGAGCTGATTACTTGCAAGGAACATCAAGACCAATTCATTTCCAGGCACGGATGGCGAGCGTCTTTGGCACGATCCGCAACCGCGGGGTCAAAACGACGCATGCGCGCAATACCTTGCGAAAATCACTGACTTGAAATCGCAAATAGTATCGAGAATTCTCCACTTACCAGGCGTGGATGGCGAGCGTCATCGGCAAGATCCGCAACCGCGCGGTCAAGCTGACGGACGCGCGCGTCCGGCTGGTGTCCGAGGTCCTGACGGGCGTCCGAGTCGTCAAGTACAACGGCTGGAGCGGCTCGTTCCTCGCGCGCATCCAGGGGCTGCGCTCCAAGGAGATGGCGCAGATCAGCCATGCGGGCTACTTGCGGTCGGCAACTTCGACGATCAAGGTAGGCACTTCTCTCTGTTTTTTGCTTTCACTTTTGGAAATTCTGTATCTTGATTGTCATGCCAAGATGGACCAAGAAATTGGGTCCCAGGAGATGGCGCAGATTAGCCATGCGGGCTACCTGCGTTCTGCGACCTCGACGATCAAGGTAGGGACTTCTGTCCACGTCGTCATTTGTTGACGTCACTCGGTTACGCCGTTAGGACTTCGACAGTCAGAGTGTAAAACGGCGGTTTGATGAAAAGTCTCGGTCCGGTGATGTTGTGCACTTGCCCACGCCCGCTTAAACGAGGGCGTCAGGACGCCACCAATTTGCAGCGACACATTCAGTGCCAGCGCTGCTTTGCAGTCGCCGTGATAATATCTGCTGACGTATCTTGCGGCGATGGTAAACCTGAGTCTTTCACGGTAACGTCGATTTTTGACATCAGGTTTTACGGGTCACAGGACGCCACCTTTAAGCTACGCTCACTTTACGGCCAACACCTGATCCTGTCCGTCCGTTGCAGGATACGATCACTCCGCTCGCATCTCTGGTCACGTTCTGGATCTACGTGTCAGTCCACGGAGGGGCGCTCCGGCCTGCGGTGACGTTCGCCACCCTGGCGTTCTTCAGTATCCTCGTGCGGGTCTTTTCCCTCCTGCCCACAGGTAAGCGCTACTTGGGATGACTTGCTGGCTCCAACTTGAAAGCTTTCTTATAGAGGTCCCACGTTAAGGCTTTCTAACCTAGAGCCTAATCCACTTCCTGGGTGCCCGATGCTTTGCTGAGGCGCTGGTGGCAACTCGCCGCCTTGTCAGCTTCTTCGCCCTCCTAAACGGCAACGATAGATACGCCCTTATGTAAACCCATGTTAACCCCGCGTCCGAGCGGTCTAACTCAAACCTGAGTTTCTCCGCAAGCGTCTAGAGTTTTCCATAGCTTCTTGCGGCAGTCCGCCGCCGCAACAGCTCCCTCGCTCTTCTCAACGGACACGACAAGTAGACCTTACAAAACCACTCTTAATACTTTTTGAAAGCTCTCTAACTTAGACGACAACTACCTTGGCAGGTGTTCAATTCTTCGCCGAGTCCCTCGTCGCAATCCGCCGCCTGGATAGCTTCCTCGCTCTCCCCAACGGCAACGACAAATACTCTTCCGACCGCTCCCTGCAAGCCTCCGCCTCCAACCCCGACGCCGCCGCGGTGCTCTCCAATGGAACCTTTAGCTGGTCGCTCATCTCTACAACCCCTCTGCCCGGAACCTCTCACGATTCCGGGACGCCCCGGCCGTCGTTCTCAGGAACGCCTAAAGATTCCGGTCCGTCGTTTTCGGAGCAGCGTAGCCTGCGCGGTGCACAGGGCCCCGGGATGAGGCTGCAGCTGAGTCACAGTTTAGGCACGCAGAAGAAGATTGCGAGTCTCATCAGCGAAGGCCCTGTTTTGAGGGCGGTGGAGTTTGCGCTGAGAAGGGGAGAGCTGGTCGCGATCACAGGAGCAGTTGGGGCGGGGAAGAGCTCGTTGCTCCAGGCGATTATGGGCGAGATGGAGGTAACTAAGAAGCATAATGATTTGAATTTTCGTTCTTCAGTCGAGTTTTCATAAAAACATATGATTGATTGACTGACTTTGTCTTTTCCCCCATTTCGATGAAGGCTTAATAATCCAGGCGTTTTTTTATGCCTTTCTGCATTAGGACCTCCATCTGCTTGGAGCCGCTTTTCCTCCCCGCTTTAAGATGTCTTGACTTGCCTTGGCACCGGCTTTCATATCCATTTTTTCTTGCTTGAATTGTGACGTCCAATCCGTCTCGACTGTCGATTCAATGGCTGTACCTGACTTTCTTCACCAACTCCATGTGGTTAAAAGCGTCAGCTTCAAGGATTGTTGTAATTAGGCAGCATCCACACCAATCTTTTCTGCAGTGCTTGGACACCGCCTTCTAGAAGCCAGATCAAATTTTCTGTAGACATCCCCACGCGCAACCGGTTTGTCCTCCAGGATCGAGCCAGTGACTCCACTCCCGCTTCTCTTACGATTCCTGGAAATCCTGGTCAAAAAGCCACCATACTTTGTAAAGCTATTTTCCAATTGAAGGCTGACTTCATTTGCTTACTGCCGCTTCTTTTTTGCAGTGCTTGGACGGCGCGTTTTGGAAGTCCGAACCGGCGGCGTACTGTCCGCAGCAGCCGTGGATTCTTAACGACACCATCCGCAACAACATCACCTTCGGAGAGCCATACGATGCTTCCCGTTATGCTGCCGTCACGCACGCGTGCGCGCTGGACCACGATATCGCCAACCTGCCCGGGGGGCACGAGACTGAGATTGTGAGTGGTTATATGGACCGCACGAGTGTTGCCACTTTGTGGATGGTATGGATGCCGTTGAATATCTCGGTGAGGTGAATGAGGTAATCTGATGCCAGAAAATTCACAAGGTTGTGTTTCTTTCTTCAACTGTTGTTTGCTTATCTGGCGGCATTGGCAGACCTCTTTGTCAGTCAAGAGAGTGGATTGGCATTTTGAGGCGAGACTTCGGAGCCTAGCTCACTGTTGCCTCGGCCGGACAGGAGAGTGCAACAATCTCATGGCCACAGTATGTTTAGTCATCAGCGCAGTCTCTCGACTTTGACGCCCCCCTTATCAATTGCCAACTCGAACATGGTTATTTTTACACACAATCGGGGGCGAGGCACAATGCTTAGCGGCGGCCATTGGGTCGATGTTATTCCGTCGCTTGCTAGTGCATGTCACTAAAGCTTGTGATCCTTTCCTTGCAGGGAGAGCGGGGCGTAACGCTTAGTGGCGGCCAGAAGGCGCGTCTCTCCCTCGCGCGCGCGCTCTACAGCCGAGCACAACTCCTCTTGCTTGACGACCCTCTGTCCGCTGTTGACGTCCCCACCGGGCGTCATCTCACGCAGCACGCGTTGACGGGGCCGCTCGCACAGGGGCGCGCGAGGCTGTTGGTGACGCACCAACGGAGGTGAGGGAAAAACTTTCCGTTCTACTTGGTCGACCCTTTGTCCGCTGTTAACGTCCCCACCAGGCATTCATTTCGCGCAGTATGCCCTTACGGCGTTGCTCGCTCAGGGACGCGCAAGGTTGCTGGTGACGCACCAACGGAGGTGAGAAGAGGTCTAGTTCCCCGTTTTAGTTCTTGCCACTGTCTGCTGTCGATGTGCCAACGGGGCACCATCTGACGCAGCATGCGCTGACGGGCCGCTCATAGGGGCACGCGAGGCTGCTGGTGACGCGGAGGTGATAAAAAGCCTCTGTGGTCTCGTGCTTGCTTCTTCGGTTTTCGCCTCTGTGTGCGGCTTCGTCTCTTAGCGCTCTTCAAGCAGAAAGATGCTAGAGAATGACTTCAAGTTCAGAATCCTGCTTATCATGCATCATTGAAGGTGAAGTTTTGCGCTCCGCTGGTTGCATTTCGCACCCGCTTTTCCTCCTCTCCCTGTTCTCTTTGTTTCATCGTTCTTCACAGGTTTAGTACTTCGTGTGTTCGTTTCAGCAGATGATCCGTCCCGCCTGACGTCTAGATTTCTTTTGAGTGGTCTGTGACACGTCGCTTTGCGCTACTAAGTTTAAAGAGAATTTGCACGACCTGTGATCGTCGAAGAACGCAAGCAGGATCTTCTGAGCGACATGTGTTGTCCCTTCCTTGTCAACAAAGCAGTCTCGTCGCCGGCATGCCAATCGCTGCTTTTGCGCCCAGGTGCTTGAGCGCATGCGATCGGGTGATGCTGATGGAGGGCGGGACGCTCCGACTGGTGGAGAGCGAAGAGGAGCTGCGGAGCATTGGGGCAGTCGATGATGATCTGGAGGGAATCGAGGAGGAGCCTATTCACACGTCGGAAGAACGGGTGGAGGGCCACCTCGATTCAGGGAGGAGCATTTCAGGAGGAGGGGCCGGTAGCGCGGCTAGCGAAAGAGGGGGGAGTGCGCCAGTTTTGGGGGAGAGAAGATTAGACGAAAGTGCCGGTAGTGTAGCGGAAGCACGAGGGGGATTGTTGCAAGATAGGGGGGCGGCAAATTTGCACTCAGAACGAAAGAGCGCAAGTGCTGTGGCGGAGGAAAGAGGCGGCCAGGTACCGCTGGACTTGGCGGCTGTAGGGGGGGTCGATGAGAATGCCGAAGCAGAGGCGCAGGCGCTGACGTCAGCGAGCGGCGGTTCGGTGACGTCAGCCGAGGTCGGTACCGTTGGGAGGGACGTTACGAAAGCGGACGGGGTTGCGCCGTTGGTGCACGGAGAGGGGACGTCAGGTGCGAAAGGGCAGCAAAACGGGGTTAAGCAGGGTTGGAAGTCGGGTCAGACGGTGGTTAAGGAGGACCGAGTGGAGGGCGTGGTGACGAGAGAGACGGTCAAGTCGTACATAAGCGCCGGGGGGGGATACCTTATGTTTGCGACCGTGATGATTGTATTCCTTATCGCTCAGGTAAGCTTTCCCATCGTCTTTTCGAAAGTGCGTTTGTACTTTCTCTCATTTTAGATGTACCTGTTAAGCGTATGCCAGTAGGGGCAGAAGCAGGGCATCCGTGTCATGGGCGTATGGCAGCTCGCCGCCTGGACGGACCTCTGTGAAAGCGGTCTCATCTTACGATTATCAGCTGAGCGCATCAGTTCAACTCCTTTGAGCTGGCATCGTTTAGCTCTTATCAGAGCTATCGTCTGCCGACAATTCAAAAAAAGCATGCATGTGAAGTCGTAAAGATCCAGATAAGAGACCAAAATTCCAACCTCCTCAAGCAGGGCGTTTCGTGCGATGGGCGATATTGGCTCGCCTCGTGGATGGACCGAAGTTCCAAGCTGAGCGCGCGGCAGGAGAACGTCTTTATCACGAATGTCCAATCCTCAATTTTTAGACCTCCAACGCAGTCTCCGAGAGCCGGAATTGCTTTTTCCATCGCAGGGCGTTCGTTGATGGGCGATCGGTGGCTTGCCGCGTAGAGCGCAGAGCACTTCACGTCGCCAAAACCGACGGTTTTTGCTCTTCTTGAAGCTTCTGTCTGTTTGTTTTGAAGAAGAATAGAAACCTTGAACTTGAGACCCTAAAGCTCTTAACAAAGTAAATATTCTCCTCATTCTTTGGCAGGGCGTGCGGGTGATGGGCGATTGGTGGCTCGCCGCATGGACGCGCACAGCAGTTCATGGCTTTGTACTTGGCGTCTTTCTGGGGTCTTTCTGGTCCCCTTAAAACTTGCTTTATTCCCTTTCGTAAAAAAGGTCAAAGTTGAGACTGTAAAGTTCCGGAAAGGAACTCAAAGCCTTCGTTTTTTTTCAGGGCGTGCGAGTAATGGGCGATTGGTGGCTCGCCGCCTGGACGGATCAGACTTATCAGCTGAGCGCACAGCAGTTCATGGTGTCATACTTGGCGTCTTTTGGGGTCTTCCTGGTCTCCTTAAAGCCCTGTTTGTTCGTTCCCGAAACAGAGGTCAGATTTGAGACTGTAAAGGTCTAGAAACGAAATCAGAGCCTTCGTTCTTTTTCAGGGCGTTCGTGTCATGGGCGATTGGTGGCTCGCTGCGTGGACGGACCAGACTTACCAGCTGAGCGCACAGCAGTTTATGGCGTCATACTTGGCGTTTGTGGTGGGGGGCTTTTTGCTCGCTCTCGTACGCGCCTTCCTCTTCACCTTCTTTGCGCTCAACGCTGCGGCGGGGCTGCACGACAATATGGCCACGCATATCTTGCGTGCACCGCAGGTCTTCTTTGATCAGGTGAGGAGTTTACCTACTGGATCAGTAATCCAGTTTGCTGTGCTTGTTCTTGGGCTTTCTTTGCTCTGGATTTTGGTCTTCGAGGTTGCTCTTAAGTATATACCTTTTGATACGAAGGACCCATGGAGTAACGTGTGTGGCATAGCGGTGCTTTTTTTCGGTGAGAAGTCCGAGGTCATGACTTCCCGAGTCCAACTGCAGTTTTTCTTCTGTTTTTCTTGTTCCGTTTTGTAGCTCACGGTTGAACCCTTCGTTTCCAGATCTTGGCTGTATCGATCCTCCTCTGTTCCAAAGTGCTGCGTGTGTTACTCGGTAAACCAGTACACCTCCGCCCCTGTTAAAAAGCGAAAGCGTTCATAGGGCCTATGAGTAAGCGCGAAGTTGTAACGATGTGCTGGCGTGAGATTGTTCAAAGAGCAAAGACTTTCCTTTAATTGGGAGATATTCAAAGGGGTTAATTTTTTGGCGTTTCCTCGTGCAGAACCCTGTCGGCCGCATCCTGAACCGCTTCGGGAAGGATCAGTCCTTGGTAGACGAGTTCCTACCGAGTACGGCGCAGGTATGCGGTACCGCCGATTCTTTGACGTGATCTTGGATGTGAGAAAGTGTCGGACGTCCGGACCCGTAAAAAAGGCCTTTTGACTTCTCTAAAAACGCCTCAAATGCAATAGCTGCAAAGCAACCTTGACTACCTTGAAAGCCCAATCTCTTGCGTTCCTAGGAATTATCGCTCAAATTGCATAGTAGGTCTTGCAGAGCAAAATGTCGGGTCAAGAACTCGAGTACAGGTCCCCGGCCCAGCAACCTGATAATGCAAACGGTTCGGATGCCACCCCTCGTATCAACTTTACTGGTGTCAACATATTGCCGGTGCAACAGGGCTTCACCGCAGTAGTGTCATTTTCCCGTCTTCTTCGAACCCAATGCGTCGCCAGCCCAGATTGTCTCCCCCTTAGAATGTATCAATCCCCCAGATGGTACTGCCCCCTTCCGATTTGTTCCCTCGTTCTCGCATACCATCTCCAGTTTGCACTCCTATCTGGATCATTATTAGCTTTCCTAGCTGCAACCCTTTCGCTTCCCTTGGCTCCGACTACTCGAAAAAGGTCTCTGTTCCTGGATTTGCCTCTATTACCCCTAGAATAGTCCTTATTCGCCGAGAAGAATCCTCCTCCGCAAAAACAGAAGTCCTTCTTAACCCGCTCTGTTTTCCCTTAACCAGGTAACGTTGGAGCTGCTGTGCAGCTGTCTCGGCTCGGTCATAATCATCGGTGTGCTGGTCCCCTGGTTCCTCCTCGTGTTGCCCCCCCTGATCATCACCTTCCGCTACCTGCAAAGAGTGAGCTGTCGTCCTCTCAGACCTTGGTAGAATCCATTTTAACCTTCGTGCATGGATTGCTGCCATCCGGTTTAGAAGCAGCCCGATATTGCTATGTCTCCTGACATTTTGTGCACGGGCGGTGCCGACCGTTTCGAGCTTGTTTCACGTGTTCGTTTAGAATCACTCGAGCATGCTGCCCTGGAAACCAGGCCTGGACACTTCAGGCCTCCTCTAGGGACGACGTGGGAATGCGATTTCAGTCCATATACCAGGCCACACCTTCGAAGGGGTTGGTACTCGAGCAGACAAATCTGGTAAATCAGTCCTTAGCATCTCCAGGCGTTTCGCGACGTTAAGTACTGCCCGTGTGTGAAGCTGGACACTTTCTGTTGCGCCTGTTGTGCTTGGCAGAGAAGGCATGAAAGTTGGGACTGGCCCGAACCTGTGCCGTCTATCTCGTCACAAGAAGGAAGTGAGAGTGGGAGTGGTTTAAAGCGGAATACCGAGGAAACCTCCCCCCCAACCAACTAAACATATTATTAGTAAACGTTTTCACCTAACATTGATTATATATTTTTGCAGATGTACGTATCAGTCTCCCGGGAAGTGAAGCGATTGGAGGGGACGACGCGCTCGCCCGTCTTTGCTCTGTTTGGCGCGGCACTGCAAGGTGAGATGCAAATGCATCTGAGAACAGATTTTCTTTGCTGGCTTTGCTTAGATTTGAGCGCATTTTGCAAGTTGTAGGGTTTAGTACGAGAGAAGATTGATGCGGGCAGTTGGTCAGCTGATCCCATCAGAGCGTGCTTTTTCGAGATCTTTGCCGATAAGCTGTCGCAGATCTTCTTTTAACCAAGCAGACACAGCTTGGAAGCTTCAAGAAACTTCCAAGGCGTTTCATAAAGCCCCGACTTAACGCAGTACGAGCAGGAAGATCTCCAAGGTACCCCCTTCTCAAACCTCTCTCAACCTTCTCAAACCCCCTCTCCAATCGCTTTTGTTTCTTTCCCCAGGCGTTCATTCAACACTCGCCTACTGCGCCCAAGAGCGTTTCAAAGCCTCCTTCGAGGCGCTCATCAACGCTAATTTATGGGCCACGTTTTTCGAGGTCTGCACAGAAACCCCCTACACATGTTACTACGTAAATCCCCTCTGTAACAGCTTCCTTTCCGTCCCCCCAGGCGTCAACTTAGTGCGCGCCTACTGCGGGCAAGAGCGCTCCAAGGCGCTGCTCGAAGGCCCAATCGACGCCAAGTTCGAAGGCCTACTCGACGTCAACCACCGGTGCCACAATCTGTTCGTCAAAAGTGCCCACGTTCGCCAAAGCTACCTTTTGACTCACATGGAAATCCCTCTCCCTTTCCCAGGTGTCGATTCAGTGCGTGCCTATTGCGCGCAAGAGCGCTTCAAAGCCCTCTTCGAAGCGCTTATCGACGTCAACCACCGGTGCTACATTCTGTTCGTCCACGGGAGCCGATGGCTGGGAGTGCGATTGGACTTGCTCGCCGCACTGTGCGTCACCGTTGCGGCGGCCTGCGTACTGATTCTAAGGAACCACATCGCGGCGGGGATTGCGGGCGTGGTTCTGGTTCAGTCTCTGCAGCTGACGGGACTCTTTCAGGTGCGTTCGAAAGAAGTTTTTTTGTCGTCGTAGCGCTCTTCGTGGCTGCTTGTGTGCCCATGTGAAAGTTGCTCAGTCATGGCACACCTGACTAAGTCATAGTACAAATCCTACTTAGGAACCACATTGCACATCATGGAGCTTATTCTCACTCGGACATGCGTTTGGGCTGTTTTAGGTGATAAATATGACCGTGTCATGTCTTGTGGTCGTAACTTTGGATACATCAGCGGGTTCCGATGTCTCGCAGCATAGCGTGCGCCAGACCCCAAGACTGTGAACTATCCTACGAGCCCCGAATGTTTCAATGCTCCATCCATACGGTTATGAGCGGCGTCATGCTAGCCCGTGTGCCTGTTCTCGTCTTCCCTTCTCGCTGTACAACGTGCGCCAGGGGTTCGCAACTTCTTGATGAGCGTCAAGCATAAGCCATTCGCCAGTATGTTTCCTCGCCGATAAACTTAGGCTAACTTTTGCACCTTACATACTACTCTAATCTCTTGCAGTACAGCGGATGTCAGGCGGCTCGGACCGGTAATCCTTCATGAGCGTCCTGCGCAGAGTGCTCCCTCTACACAACTATCATTTGGCGTTATCCTAAGTCGTGTTCCTGTCTCTTGCCTTCTCTTGCAGTATGGCGTTCGTCAGGCGGCTGAGACGGAGAACTTCTTCACGAGCGTCGAGCGCATTAGCGCATACACGGTCGTGGAGGACGAGGAGGAACGGGCGCCCAGCCAGACCGCCCCCGTTATCCCCGATAAAAGCTGGCCCCAGGTACGACCATCCCTGTTCATGGTTTACAGTATCTTCGGACCTGCACGTCTGTGTTTCGTGTTGTTGAGTTTCCTACGCCGCGGACCTCCGTCTTGCGGTCGTCTGTTAGCCTATGGTGCTCCCGTCTGTTGAAACAGTACCACAAGCAAAGAACGGTCTGGTCTGTGAAATCTTATCTTTGAGGTTTGGATTCTTAGGCCGCCAGGGATGCGATATCTCTGAAAAGACCCAATTTCTGAAGTAGGTTCAACAACTCGTGGCCGGGTTGCGGCGCTTATGAGTGGCTCCTTGCAAGGCAGCACTGACGGTAGAAAACGCGGCTCGAATTGTGTCCTCGACGGTTGTATGCGTTGCATTGCGTAACGTTATTAATGTACACCCGCGCAAGAACTGCCCATAGACTCAACCTCAAGCGGAGGGCATCTAGCCAGTTACGTGGCTCAAAAAGTGCCGACGCCTGGTGCAGGATGGCGTCATCGAGTTCCGTGACGTCACCATGGCGTACAGAACGGATCTGCCGCCGGTGCTGCGGGGCCTCAGCTTCAAGGTTAACGGCAGAGAAAAGGTGGGTCGGTCAGACTTCCATTGCGTTGTTTCCGAACTGTGTTCGTAAGGCGAACAGTCCCCTACGCAATGCGAACGGCCATTTTCTGCACTGTATCCGCACTGATTGTGCATAGTCTTCAGCCTGAAGTGAGAAATTCAAGGGGAAGTCCTGCCAGTGACCACGTGAGATTTCGTTCGTCTTGTATTTTCAGGCAGTACTGAAAGGCTACAGGCCACTTTTCGGGTCGAGACTCTGAAACTCTACACCCTAAACGAGCTTTGTAACTGTCCACTTATAAAATGATCTCCCTGTTATGCCAACAGGTGGGAGTTCTGGGGCGCACCGGCGCGGGCAAGTCTAGCCTCGTCTCCAACCTGTTCCGTATGGTCTACAATGAATCGTGCGGGGGCGAGATCCTCATCGACGGGATCGACATCCGAACCGTTCCGTTGGACCTCCTGCGGTCGAAGATGTCCATCATTCCGCAGGTCAGAGAGCGGAATCGCTTTCGTAATATGTAACGCAAGGAACGGACGATGATTCGGGCCAGAAAAAATCGGTTGGAAAAGAAGGAGCTTGAGCAGTTCTTTGCTGCGAAGTGTTCAATCTGCATCACTGATCGCCTCTGTCCGGATACAATTTGTGAATATCCGGTGACAAATATCCGCCTCACTTCGTTGGTGCTGGGGTGAAAGACGGGTCAGAAGACGGCGCAAAAACCGGGGTTTCTGATTGAACGCTGTGCTGCGGTCTGAGCCTCAGACGCAAGGGTTTACGTCCCTTTTCTTTCTTCAATGCAAACCTGGCTAATCGACCTGAACTGGAATGAGACTTGCTCAGTGCGAATTCCGTCAGGCTGCCGGGATGATCAGGTTGCGAAAAGCAGGCTAGGCACTTCACTCCTTTCATCAAGCCTGCTCTTCCCTTGCAACGTTGATCAAAGCATATCCTCTGCTTCTCTTAGTACCCGGCTTCCGCATAATGACAATCTTATTCCCCGAATCCGACCCAATCATATTCAGACCTTAACCTCATGTCACGTTCTACTCGTCTCTTGCAGGACCCGGTTCTCTTCGAAGGCACCGTCCGGCAGAATCTGGACCCGTTCAGCGTCCATTCGGACGAGGAACTGCTGGCGGCGCTCGACCGGGCACACCTCAAGACCGGTGTCGCTGCTTTGGTGCAACTGAAAAAGGGAGCAACCGAGGAAAGGTGAGCCAATCGCTATTCTCACACTTTCTTCTCCTATCTTTCTTTACATTTTCCCTCCCTTATCTTTTTTAGTTTCTGGTTGCACACCTTAAGACCGGTGTCGCCGCCGGGAATTGGTTACGAGAAAAGGTAATTAGATGCTACGTTCTCGCTATTTCCCAGCTCCTTTCGTTCCTCTTGCTTTGGATCTTCCCTTGCTTGCCGTCCTTGACTTCTGGTTGCACAGAAAACTGATTTGCCGCTTTGTTCAGACTGGGGGATTGTGCAACCGGCACAAGGTAAGCGAGAGCTTCGCTTCGCTCCCTTTCCTCCCCTCTTCGATTATCTCTTATGCAAGAACGGATTGTAAGAACACCTCGTTTCCTGGCCGCCTGACCTTGAATCAGGCTAGTCCGAAGCTACGCTTGAGCAACGAACTGGTCCGGCGACTATCTCTTGAGAGAGTCTGTTGAAGCGGGCAGTGTCGACGAATCCTAGTATAACCTGGCATCTTAAGGTATGCCAACTTCGATGGTTTACAGTCGGACATTTTCCCTGTGTTGTTGTCCCTTAACCTTAAGGCTTGAAGGGGGAGGAAGCCGGTCATGCAACTAGTTGTGACACGTAAAAGACCAGACACAAGTCTTACGCACAACTAGCCCCCCTTTCGATCAGTATCCTCAAGGGCGTGGTTGAATAATGAGATAAGACCTTTTCGATAATATCTAGACTAGCTGCAGTCTAGTCTCTGTCGGTCAGCGGCAGCTGCTCAGCTCTAAAACGCGATAGACTCAAACTGAAACTCCCAACTTTTCCAGAAGTGGATGCAAATTGTGCTCGCCCCCCCCCTCCCCTTTTCCGCAGCATTCTCAAGCGCCCCGTGTTTGAGAACGGCAACAACTTCTTCGTCGGCTAGCGGCAGCTACTTCGCTCGGAGAACTCGAGAAATCCAAAAGCAGAACATGCACTGGAGCTCCGATACTTCGAGAAGTAGACGCATACATACCTCGAGCCTCGGGCGCAAGATCTGCTTAACATTCTCCCCTCCTTTCTCCGCAGCATTCTCAAGGCCCCCGTGGTAGAGAACGGCAACAACTTTTCCGTCGGCCAGCGGCAGCTCCTCTGCTTGGCACGTGCCCTGCTGCGCAACAGCCGCGTCGTGGTCATGGACGAGGCGACTGCCGCAGTGGACCACGACACCGATCAGCTTATACAGGCGGCTGTGCGGGATGTGTTCGACAATTGTACCGTTCTTACGATCGCTCACAGGTAAGCGGAACTGCACGCTTTAAGTAGTCGAGAGCTCTTGGTAGCTTTCTCTAGTTCATGGTTTCCTCCGATAGGGTTTGGACGAGGCGACTGCCGCAGTAACCCACGACACCGATCAGCTTATACAGGCGGCTGTGCGGGACGTTTTCGACAATTGTACCGTGCTTACGATCGCTCATAGGTAAGCGGGAATGCAAGTGCGCTTGATAAATGCTCTTTTTCCTTAATTAGATTGAGGTCTCCTTTGGTACTTTGACGACTGGACGGTGCTCGTCATCGCCGACAAATATTTGCAGTTCTATCATAACTTTGCTCCAACCAGATTCTTGATGATTGTCGGGTCCGCCAAACCAGAGCTCAGTGGACATCTAGAACTACTTGGACTCGTTCTCGTTATTTCTTTGTCTGGCACACGGGGTCAAGCTCCAGAAGCTTGCGAGGCAGCCGGCCAGTAAACAGAGACCCTATTATACTGTTCCAGAGCAACTTCACCACTCGTCTGGTCCAAATATATACCACCAGATTGTTTTCCAGCCTCATCAATACCAACTCGTACAAACCCGCATTGTTTCGAAAACTTGAACGTTTCCCTGTTTCTTTAGGTTGGAGACGATCATCGACTGCGACCGTGTGCTGGTCCTCGCCAAGGGTCAACTCGCGGAGTTTGACACCCCGGTCAACCTGCTACGGAGCGCCACCCGCGAGCAGACCGGCATCTTCGCCGGCATGGTCGCGCAAACCGGGTCAGCGAATGCAGAGCAACTCTTGCATGCGGCTGAAGAAGCGGAGCGGACGAGATTTAAAAGGACGGCGCCCTCGCATACTAGTGCTTAACACCTTTTTCTATCGCCGTTGGGGCGAAGAGTTTCTCGGCTGCATGTCTCAGTGGACTTGCACGCCTGTGTCACGGTTATTCAAACCTGCAGAAGTACTAAAGGTCTCCTGATAGAGCATGTGCACGCAATGTCCGAATGTAGCATAATCTTATTTTCAAGCCCGTTGACGAACTTCAAAGTCAATGCTTCTTACCGTGGCGGCAATTGCCAGGCGTCTGAGCTAGCGGCACCTGGGTTGCAGGTCATTGAAAATCGTTGATTCGCTTTAAGGTGACAATGGTCTTACGCACATGATAATGCAATCACCAATCTGCTCATAGTATGTACATCTTCTATGCGCAGATTGACGTACGCTAATCTACTAGCTAGTAAACTACAATGAACGAACGGCCGATCGATCACACATTCGGAGTATGACTTGCAGACAGCATGGGCATTGTGTGAGAGCAATTGGTCATGCATGTATGAGTCGATCATTCGGGTTCAACCCAAGAATGGTCCGTGATTTTCACGTTACTGTGCTACTACGGCCGCCAGCTAGCTGCATGTGAACGTACTTAGTTGCGATCGACCATGTCCGCCCACTACTGTATAACGTTGCATGCCCAACTTGTCATGGATTGAGTGTTACAATGCTGTCACAGAAATTCCGGCTGAGCTCAGCCCAGTGCGATTCTCGCCCGTCTGCGCAGCTCATGATCAGCTGCCATAATTGAACCCTAATATAATTCGCGGCGGGTAGCGCCGCAGCGCCTTTAGTAGAATGATCTACCGTCCATGATCTACCGACCCCGACGACGGTACGCGCGAGCTCATTTATCGACGTCATGTAAACCATTTAAAGGTAGAAGTATGGCATTCAACCGCTTGCAGAACCCTGGGGGCTATTCAGACCAAAATCGGGGTCTCGGTGTCCAAAACGGGGTTTTGCTGACGTTTGTCAAATCCGAAAACTGCAGGGTTTCGGCAAACCCGCACCCCTATCCAGACTGCATCGGGTCCCGGGCTCCGGGTGTGGGATGTCGTACGTCAGCTTTCGTTACTCGTATGTACTGAATTCTGTACACCTCGTGTACAAATTGGAAAAGACCGCTCGATCGGCAACTTGCCGCCTTCATCGTTGCCCCCGTACGTCAGCGACACCCCTTTTCGCAATCGACATTCTGCCAAAGGGCCGGGTGCCGATTTTTGCAAATTTTGGACATCCGGGATGTGCCCGACGTCAGCAGAGACTCGGTCGGTCTGAATAGCCCAAACCGGATGTCGGGACTCGGATGTCCATTTCGAGACCCGGGTGCGCGATTTGCCTGAGAAACCCCACATCCCGATTTTGGTCTGAATAGCCCCTAGGTCACGTTTCGGATCACGAAAGGCCCGAAACTTAACCAAG